TAAAAGGCAGAAAGCTGTACTTGAACAATTAAAAAAAAAATAAAGATTTTTATAATGGAAAGCCATACCTCACATTTTACAAAATTAAATGAAAATACTGTAATTTTGTGATCTTAACACTTTCAATTCTAAGCATCAATTATTTAATCAATTCCAAAAATGCTACATATCCAAGAAATGACTCCTTTGTATTCGCTGCAATTTTAAGAGGGGATAGATGCAAAACAAGGCAATCTCTATACATAGTTTTTAAAGTAAAACCTCCCAGGGCTTTAAAGTCATTATGAATGTGGTCCAGGCTCCTGTGCCTTCCAAAATGGACATTTAAACAATCGTTAAATGAAAACCCATTTTCAAAATCCTGGCACTGAGGCACAAGACTCAATCAAATAAAGTCAATCCACCGCCAAAGCAAACAAGTTCATAAATACAAGTACACTCATATTTTCAAATGAGTCCAAATCTTCAATAGAGCAATTAAACTGAAACTTAAACTGACTGAAGTTTAAGATATACTGAGCATCTTAAATACCATACATTCAAGAAAGACACTTCTAACCCTTTTAAAGTCTTCAAGTTTTTGAAATAGCTGATTATTTCCAACTTACCTGGTTTACAGCGTAGTTCTGTATCTAAGACCCCAGAAAGCACTTCCTCTATCTTCTGAACTATTTCTTCATTTGGTAGGCTCCTGCCAGAGGCAACTGCATCACCTGCCTGGTTTCCTTCAATAGGTGTATTTGTTTCACCATTGAGCTGGCCTTCACTCCTTCCACTTGAGAAGAGAAGTTATCAAAATTCATTAATACTTTTTACCACATCATACAATAAATTAACATTTGTAATTCAACTGATTAAAATATCCTATTAACACATTTCACCATTTTTGCATTTCTTTCAGATGCTATTTCCTACTAGTAGTGCTTCCTTAACACTATCTACTAATAGTTGTACACTTTTATTTTTTTTACAATTAAAGTTTTCAGAACTTTAAAGTTAAGGAAAAGTCTTTGACACAGGTTTCTAAGCTTATCTTTTCTAAAAACAAAATACTACAGGAAATATGAATTAAATTAATTCCAGTTACCTGGATATTTATCTCAGGACAGAAGAGTTATTATCAAGAGGACAGAAGCTACAGCTACTATAAAGCCACACCTGTCCATGGATCAGTCATCACCAGTGTCACGGATATAAAACAAGCCACAGACACACGTCAAATAAAAAGGGTAACATGTAACCTCTGAGCAGACTTCAACTGATCAGTTAGTAAAATAACAAAAAGTTTTAAAGTAAAAACACGTTTATATAATTTTGCCCAGTTATTCAAAATCCTAGTATTAAATATCTGGAGACCAAAACAATTCATGTAAAACAAGTGACAATTCATTTTTACCAACAGTAAATGAATGAATGGCTTGATATATTTTCAATTCACAGGGCCAGAATTTTTTTAATTGAGGTAAAATCAGTGTGTGTGTGTGTGTGTGTGTAAAAGTTTCAAGTGTACAACATTATAATTCAATGCCTGTATACACTACAGTCAACACCAAAAGTCTAGTTACCATCCATGGCCATCAAATGGACTATCACCCATTCCTCCCTCCCCCAAGCCCTCTCATAGTCCCCCAATCTGCTGTGTATCCGAATGTTTTTGTTTTCTGTGTTCATTTCATTTGCTTTTTTTTAAGAACCTTAATAGACATAAAAACATGTCACTTACCTAGTCATTTTTACTTTTTTATAGATTTCCAAAATTGTTTTGAAAAAAAACTTCAACAACTCTTATCTAACTTAAGTTTTAGCTAACAAAACAGAATGATTATGCTCCACTACTTTACAGAAGTCTGAACGGTCAAAAAAACAAGAATCAGTAGTTAACTAAATGTTATTAAGGAACATTAGATTTTTCCAATACAATGAACCAAGTAATAATTAACATTTGTTGACCATTAATGTCACAAAGTTCTACATTTTGAAGCCCATTTAAACCTAAGATAAAACTCTAAGATCAGCACTATTATTCTGATTTTATAAATGAGAAATATGAGACACAGAGAAGACAAGAAATCTAGCTGAAGGTCACACAGCTATGAAGAGGTGAAGCCCGTATTCAAAACCAGAGCTCATTCTCTTAGCCCCCACCCATATATAACAATCAGTTTTAATTACCTGAATGTCTGTCTCACCCAAACTGACAAGTGTAAAAGCAGGTAGGAAAAATGAAAAATAAAGCTCACTTAAGTGGCAAATAATAAAAAACCTGTTTTTAGACTGATAATGTATTACAAGTTACTTGAGAAGTTCAATATTTCTCTAGTGATAAAGTGCTTTAATATTACTTGCAAACATTCCTTTAGGAGTTCTTTATTTTACACTTCCCTAAGCACTTGTACACACATAATTACCTCATTAAAAAAGCAACAGATTTTAAAAATCCAAAAGGTAAAAACAAAAAGTCCATGAAAACGTAATCACCTTAAAGCTATGATGTTTATCTCAAACACTGAAGATAATTTCAAACACCTAAATATCCATCAACAACACATTTCTAAAACAGAATTCTATAAAAAATGTCCAGTGCAATACTAAGATTGTGATAAGACATACTTGTTTACAATATATTAGGTGGGGGGGGGGGAACCCGCCAAACAAGATAATCACATTTTACAAAACATGCATGTTCATCTATGCACAAAAGGGGAAAAAACAACAAAGAACATCAACAACTAAGTAGTGGTCTTCCTATTTCCCTTTTTTCCCCTTAAATTTCTACAACCAAACTTATTTCCTAATATAAAAACTCATTTTTAAAGAGGTGTAAAAGACTACAATGAGCAAGCATAATTACTTATTCCATGCACCTACTGATGTTTTAAAAAAATGTACATTCCCTTAGCTCAGGTCTTACCTTCCTAAAAAACAGACATGTAACAAAATTGTTTTAAAAATCGAGTGAGCAGATCTATTTTTCCCCTTAGAAAACAACATATCCTCTGAAAATAACACTCCTGGTAGTATTAGTCCATTTGCCCCAGTCGCCCTACGTTAGTATGAGCACTTAATTTACAACTGCGTTTTCGGCCGATTTTCAAATTCACTTACTGCTCTCGCTCTGAACTTTTAAATACAACTAGCAAAAAAACATCTGAACTCCAAACAAATATTTGCATTATACAAAGCAAAAACACGAAGACAACCAGCGAACAGCATGACCCGCGCCCGTTTCCTTCCTGGGTCAACAACACTTCTGGGGAAACCTCTGCCCGGCTGCATGCTGTGGAACCACGGATAAAAAACGACGCCGAGCCCACCAGCAATGCCAGAACTAACGCGTCGTTCCCGTCTGGCCGTTGGAACAAGAGCGGCGAATAAAAATTCACGCCGACACCAAGCCCACTCGCCACTTGCTAAACTGAGAAATTATTCATAATTCCAAGTCCCCTTCCATCCTCACCCCGGCTACTCTGCCAAAGCAGCCACCATTAATTGGAGCTGCTGTACTTTGAATTTCTCATCGATTAGAACGCTACCTGGCGGAAGACACAGGACTCTGGGGCCCAAATAATCTAATTAGAGGATTCCCGACCCCGAGACGGTCTAAAGCAGGACAAAGCGGATTTAAGTTGACTCCAGAAACGGCCGGTAGAGACCCTTTCCGGTCGCGGGCACCGGCCGGCGACATCGACGGAGGCTGGGAGGGGGAGGGGGACGCGGCGGCGGAGGAGGAGCCCAAGAGGAACTAGGCCGCCGCCGCCGCCGCACAACTAGGCCCACGGCGGCGAAAGGGAAGGGGACGAGCCAAACGGGAGGGGAAGCGAGAGTCTTAACCCGGTTCCAGGAGAGGAGTCGAGGTTTCGGCGGAAAAAGCGAAGTTCCGCGCTGGGAAGGGAGCGGATGGGGGGGGCGGAAAATGGATCCCAGGCCCAGGCGGGGCCGTAGCGGGGCCTGAGGCGAGGAACGACGGCGCCTCTGAATAAAGGTGCCGTGGAGGGCTACGCGGGGCCCTCCCGGTCCCTTGGGGGCAGAAAAGACTGGGAAGCGCGTACCTGGAAAGCTCCTGTTGAATTTCCCGGAATTTACTGACCACGAACGACCTAAAAATCTGCTCGATGTTGGTCGCCATGGCGTCCGCTCCGTTCTCTCAACTCCTCCTCGCTAGTCCTCCAGGCTCCCAGAATGCCTTGGGCGGAGGCACAGCGGCCAATTCCGTCTGTCGCCGTCCTGATTGGCTTCTGTTGGAACGCCCGGATCCGCACGCTCCGCCGACGGGCCAATCGGTGAGCTCGGGCCTGCTCTCCTTCGCTGTTTCTGAGCGGCTCAGGGAGAGGTGCTGACGTTTGCGCCGCGCACGACTCTGTCCGCCATGTTAGTGACTGACGCAGGCGCCATTACAGGAGAAGTCTCTCGACGAGACTTTTATCAGCGTGTTAGTCCCCAACGGTACGTGGGGGAAGCTTAAGAGGCTTCAGCAGCTAAACGCCCGAGATTAACTGGCATGAGCAAAGGGAGCAAGGGCAACGTTCCCAAGTTGTTTCAGCAGGAAACTGAATCCGGAAAAGCATTCATTAGCGCCCGCCCCCACTGAATCAACACGAAGAATACGATTTTTCCCCCACCTCCCCCATGATATCCTACAATCGCGGTTTTTGGTTTTTTAAGCAATAGGCAGGAAGTCTCGAGCGACCTGCGTTCAAAGCCTGGTGAATTCTGGTCAGGAGCCAGGTGAATTTTCCCTGTCGCTGCTTTATTCTGACTCGTTAGCAACACGCTATTAGCTACATATGGCCAGTGTCTGGGGTGCCCCCCTCCTCGGAGCTGAGGATCACGGGAATGAAGAGAGCGTCGGGTAGCACCTGACGCCAAAGTGTTAAATCGTAAACGCGCACGAACTGGAAGGCTCTGCGCGGGTACAGAGCAGAGGCCGCGCCCCAGAGCGGGAGGGAGACACACTCAGTTAATTCGCGGCAGGGACCGCGGTGCCCGCTGACCAATGGGGAGGCGAAGCCCCGCGGGTGGGCGGGCCCAGACGGGTGCGCTCTGGTCCCACTTCCGGCGCGGCCAGCGGGCGGGAGCGTGACTGCTGCGGCCACACTGCTGCTGTCTCTCAACGCCACTTGGTAAAGTACATGTGCGTTTGGTCTGGGGATTTCCTGTTAGGAATTGAATGAATCCGTAGGGACGGGTTTGGCTACAGGGATTTCCGTCTTATTTTTTAAATGTCGTCGGTGGGGGTGGACCACGTGCTTTTCCCTTTTAACAGGTTTACATTGGATCTATCACTTTCCCCTGCTTTCTAAGATTCGGGGCCTTTTGTATGTTTATGCTATTTTAGGTTATAAGCCTAGATTGCCTTTTTTTTTTAATTATGCACTCATTGTCTCTAGCAGATTAGTGCACACTTTTGCATTTGTTTTGTGCTGTGCGTTACTCACCAAGTCCATTGAAATCCAGGCATTACGTCTCTCTCTTATCCCATTATTTACTCATTTAGATGACTGAGGCTCCGCAGGTGTCTTCCCAAAGGGACAGAGTCTCGACCCGGAGCCAGGCCCCCTGACCACTCCGTGTGGATTCTTCAGGCCGAGGCGTCGCCTCCCCTCTCATGGCAACTAAATTTGAAGCTCTTTGTTTCAGAAATTTCAGCACACATGGCAAATCTGTGATTTCCATTAAACTAAAATAGCTGTTACCTCTCTGAGATGATCATTTGGTAATTTTTCTTCCTCAGATTTTCAGTGATCACCATCTCGATTGTTGACGGTGGCTCCACCGCTTAACTCGGACTTCCAGCGAGCTCCTTCGCCCAGTTACCCCCGTTTATCTGCAGGGAGGGGGTGGTGACTGTAGCTACCTCGTAGAATTGTGCAGTTTAAGTGAGATTATTCATGATACGCGTTTGGGATGTATCCTCCAGCACTCAGTGAGTGCTCGAAAAGTGTTAGTTTTTTGTATCATCATCTGAGATTTTTACTTGAATGTGTAATCCCAGCATCTCACAAGAAGTTACAGACTTAAGTTTTCTTTTTCCTGTTATCAGCTGGCCTTCTGCATAGTTAAATGTCTTCCGAAAATTACTAAATTATTTGGGGGGAGGGGCTGCTTTTTTTTCCTGTGAGAACTTTTTTCTATCCCTAAAGTCTGAATTTTGATCAAAGTACATAATATGACAAGGTGGCATTTACTATTGCTGAGTGTCAGAAATTGTGCTGATTGTTTATATATGTTATTTAGTTCAGCCTTGGGTTCAGCCTCAGTTCAGCCTTACTGTAAGGAAAGTTTTCTTCCATCTTTTAAGATGGGAAGAAGTTGAATCACAGACGGAGCTTGTCAAGGTCACACGGCTCACGTCAGTCGCGAGATCGCTGTTGCGCCCATCCTTTGCGGCGCCAAATGCCAGAACGCCGTGAGGCGTCGTCCACAAATTGGATTTCGTGCTTCTTTCTCGGTTTCCTAGTACTGCACTGACTTCTTAAATCGGGGGTCAGCCCACTGTGGCCTTCGTGCCGATCCTTCCTGCCACCTGTGTGTGTACAGCCCATCAAGTAAGAATAGCTTCTACGTCATTGAGCAGTTGGAAAGTAATAAAGGAAGAAGGATGTTTTTGCAACACGTGACGAGTATAAAATTCAAATTGCAGTGTCCATAAATAAGGGCATTGACACACAGCCATGCGTGTTCTTTACAAACCGCTGATTGCTCTCCGTTGCTTAGAAGCAGAGGTCAGCGATCTGCCACCTGCAGCCACGGCCTGCTTTAAGTTTTTACTGGACACAGTTATGCTGGTTTACTTGGGTCTCGTCGCTGGCTGCTTTCACGCTGCGGGGGTGGCAGAGTTCAGTGGTTGTGACATCCTGTGGGCCTGACAATCTGTGAGGCTTCAAGGTTTCAAAACAGGTATTTTAAATTCTGGTCTCGATTTAAAACTTCAGGATTCATGTTTAACTGAGGCCTGGTGGTTATTGTATCTTGTCAAAGTGAAGCCCAAAGAAGGGTTATTATTCATATATGTTTTTTTAAATCAATAAGTTAAGTCGTCATTGCACTCCTTAGCTCTCTACTCCAGTTTGCCCCATTTTAAAAATCCTCCCTATTCCTTAGGAATACAGTTGTATTTCTCAAATTGTGAATCGTAATTTTTCTTAATTATTTTATTGTTGTTCAAGATGAATAGTAATTTTGTACTAGTGAATCGGTAGCACCCATGATATTTAGAAACTGTGGTTTCTGAAGTATGTGCGTTCTGAACCATTACCTGTGGTTTTCTTCCTGCAGTTTCCATTTTCCTCTGGACTCCTGTCTGCAGGCAGCATGGCCGCCCGCGTGCTTGTGATTGGCAGTGGAGGGAGAGAGCACACGCTGGCCTGGAAACTGGCGCAGTCTAATCATGTCAAAGAGGTGTTGGTTGCGCCGGGAAATGCAGGAACTGCCTGCTCCAAAAAGATTTCAAATGCTGGTAATCATGTTTTCAAGTGGGGACTGATAGTTAATGATGAGAAATGACAGGCTCTCAACTACATCTGTTGTTCATGAGGTCGATGGCTGTGCGGATTTGAATACTTTTCGTAACCTGAAAACTCAGGTCGTAATTTGAATACTTTCCATGTATTACAAATTTAAGGCATACTGCTGTTCAAAGTGTAGCATTTCCTTACCTTAAATTATTTTGAACCTTATAAAACATCCATTTAAAAAGTCACAAAGGCCTAATATAGATTAAAGGGATCTTTTTTAATTTATTGAGTATAGGGGGCAGCAGAGAGGGAGAAACATTGATTTGTTGTTCCACTTGGTTCTTCTTGCTGACGCATGTAAAGAATTACATATCAGCAAATCTAGTAGTATGTAATCAGTGTATTAGTGGTCCACTTCCATGGAAGAGAACAGGACTGGGTAGAGTGGGGGGTGAAAGGGAAAGTTTCAGAGTAAAGCAGGGTGAGAAAAGCGAGAGAGGCTGGAGACCAAGGTGGCAAGCCCCTGGGCAGCCTTGAGGGCAGAGGCCCTGTGGCCCGAGAGCTGAGAGCCCCAGAGAGAGAGAGAGAGCCAGAGAGAGACCTTTGTTCTCAGGGCTTATATAGTTGGTGGAATAGGAGAGAAAAGGTTACATATTGATTAATAGGTAAATGTTGTGCCAGCTTTCCTGGGGGAATGTGACTATCCAAATTCTTATCTTGCTACAGACCCCATTTGGTCATCTTGTTGTAAAATAAATACCTGACAGTTAATTAAAATTGAGGCACTTTCCAAAGTTATTTATGGGCTCTTTCTGTGAGCATCAGGGACTCCCTCCTAAAATAACCAGTGACCAGAGGTAGGCAATTAACCAAAGTTATTTATGGGCTCCTTCTTTGGGTCCCGGGACCCTCTCCCACATTCAGGCCTTGGGATGAAAGCAGTTTCAAGGCTTTCTTTCCCAGATAGTGGAAATGTTACGTAGAATTTCAAGGACTTTCTTTCTTTCTTTCTTTCTTGTTAATACAGTGTTTCTTGTGATATTGGAACACCTGGCAATATTATCAGAACAGGCTTAGGACAGCTGAGTTAGCATGCGAGACTTGTCTCCTCCCTGCTTCGGTTTACTATTTATTCTACCTAATCAGTAAAAGGTGTTTCCTGGCAACCAGGGTGCTAAATGCTGGCCAGTGACAGTATTGCAGCCTCAGAGTTCTTCCTGTGCTGGCTCCTGCTTCACACTCATTTGTGCATTCATTGGTTAATTCTTATATGTTCCCTGACTGGGAATGGAACCTGCAACCTTAGTGTATCAAGACGATGCTTTCACCAACTGAGCTACCCAGCCCGAGCTAAAACCATTTTAATGTATATTTTTAGACGTGGAAAGTTGAGCATTTCTATCAAATGTCAGTGTTGGCCATTCTAACCCCACAATAGGTCTCAACTTTATCTCTTCAAGTGGTAAAAAAAAAAAAAAGATCAGTTCTTATGTTACATTAACCTCTTCAGTGGCTTCCCAGAGTACTTAGAATAAAACTCACACTCCCGAATGTTGCTCACAAAGCTCCTTGTGACCTGGCCTCTGCCTGCCTCCCAGCCTGATCTTTCATAGCCTTTGCTTCCTTTCTGCGGCTCTGTCTGTGCAGTCCGTCCTGCCAGCTTCCCGCACAGAGCTGCCTTGGCCTTGGCATTCCCGCCCCCATCGTGCCCAGCTGCTCATCACTCAGGTCTCACAGCTTCATGCTACCCATCTCAAAGAAGTCTTTCCTGGAGCTTAGCTTCTCTGTTGTGTGTCTTCTGTCTTTGTTTCTTCCCTGTGACATAACCTCTTGAATGTGAGCTGTATGAGGGCAAGGAACTCGACCTGTTGTGTTTTTTTGTTTGTTTGGTTTTGGTTTTCTTTTTTTGCACCGTGCACCCTGCCAGGTACCTATGTGGCGTGGTCTGTATGGAGAGAAGATGACCCAGCAAGCTGCAAACTGGGAAGATAATTGCGTATACAGGACAAAAAAAATAAGAATAATAAGAAAATAAGATGACACCCTAGCCAAGGAGCTTAGTTGGTTTGGATGTTGTCCTGATATACCAAGGTTGCAGGTTTGGTCCCTGGTCAGGGCACATATAAGAATCAAACAATGAGTATATAAATGAGTGGAACAACAAAATGGTGTTCCTTCCTCCCTCCTTCCCTCTCTCTCTCCCCCTAAAAATTAACGAGTAAAAAAAAAAACTTTTTAAGAAAATAACATTAAAAATAATATCTGCTCTCCTAGGATCTTCTTAGTTAGGGGTGAGATGTTGTAGCTGCTTGCTGAAGAACTGTCACATTCCACTTAGAAGCAATTGGTGTCGTGCAGGCCAGCCCATGAACATCTGGGATTGTCATGAGGCTGCTGCCACTCGCAGACACAGGTTAGGTGTGTCCTCTTCCTCTCGCCACCGTCTGCTGTGCAGCAGTAGTTGGCTCTGCTCGGCCCGCTTGGGGTTGCAGCTGCCCACCCAGAGTGTGTGGTCCTCCGTCCTGGTCCCTGCCCTCGCACCTGGAGAAGAGCCCACACTTCGTATGTGGTTGGCCCTCCTGCCTAGAACTCCCTCGAGGAAGCGTCCCTGGCTGATGAAGAGAGCAAGGTCTGAAAGTCCTTTAGTTCTTAGCTTGAACACCCCTTCACCAGGGCGCCCTTCCTGACTCGACCAGAAAGGGATTCCCTATTCAGCTCATATCAGAGTTGACCAATTTGCTCACAACTGGTTGTTTTTTCCCACATTTATTACCCAACACTCCCACAGTGGGGTATAAGCATCCTAAGCGTAAAGACCCTGTTTGTGTTAATGTCTTAACCCGGTGACTAGAGCAGTCTCTAGCACATAGTGGTTCTCAGTCAGTCCTGAATGAATGGCATTAAAAGACCAGTTTCTGGGTGTTTTGTGTGGTGCCCGTTTGTTTACTATACAGTCAGTGCTCGTGACATGAGCCCAGTGGGCACAAAGGTGCTTTACAGCTGTTTGGGGAGCTTCTATTTTCATCCAACTGGCTCAGCGATGGCGGAGAGCTGAGCGTTGTTGGTTACCCTGATGCTCTCTGCTCTGACTGCCCCCATGAAACTCATCAGTACCAGGGAAAGGAAGCCAAGTTCATGGGCATAAGAAAGTATAGCACCTCATTTTCGGTGTGATACTGAGTTAACAGAGAATGTTTTGGGAAAAACGGTGAAGGGTTTACAGGAGCAAGCATAAAAGAACGTTTCTGAAAGGAGGTGTATTTGTTTCTCTTTTCTATTCACAGACATCTCCATCAGCAACCACCGTGCCCTGGCCAAGTTCTGCAAAGATGAGGGCATTGAATTTGTAGTTGTTGGACCAGAGGCACCTCTGGCTGCTGGTACGTTTGTTTCTGTCTGTTGTTACAGTATGTCCAGGGCAAAAGGAGTTTGGGGCTGGGGGGGGAGTCATCTGATCCAATTCATTTTAGAGATGAAGATTTCTAATGTAGCCCTGGCTGGTGTAGCTCAGTGGATTGAGCATGGGCTGTGAACCAAAGGGTGGCAGGTTCAATTCCCAGTCGGGGCACATGCCTGGGTTGCAGGCCAGGTCCCCAGCTGGGGGTACACAAAAGGCAGCCACACACTAATGTTTCTCTCCCTCTCTTTCTCTCTCCCTTCCACTCTCTGTAAAAATAAATAAATAAAATCCTTAAAAAATAACAGTGTACACTTAAACAAATGTAATAATCACTTAAAAAAATATTTCTAATATAACATTACATTGGGAAAAAGTCCTTTCACCCTCTTGAGATATACGTGTTTTAGATTTATTTTTCCTCAAGCACCAGAAATACGATGAAAGAGAAATCAAATTTATACCCATGGGAACATTTTATATGTTTTCATTGTGGTGTCTATTCAGTGATTCATACATTTGAATACAAGGAATAACTCCTGCTGATTCGCATCACGTGCTGGTAGCATCTTCGTTCGTGTCCTGTAGACAACATGAAGATCTGAACAACAGCCATGTGCTGTATCTCCGCGCACATGTGGTCTGGTCCCGATTCTCCCCGCCGGGAGGGCACCGCGGCGCCCCTGGCTCACCCGAGGCTGCTTGTCTCCCTCCGCAGGAATCGTCGGGAACCTGACGGCCGCAGGAGTGCGCTGCTTCGGCCCCACGGCAGAAGCAGCCCGGTTAGAGTCCAGCAAGAGGTTTGCCAAAGAGTTCATGGACCGGCACGGAATCCCAACTGCACGATGGGAAGCTTTCACCGAACCCGAATTGGCCTGCAACTTCATCAGGAGGTAGGTGGAGGCTGGCTGCGAGGGGCAGCCGTTCGTTGTGATAGTTCAGTGTACCGGTCACTGTTACGTCTCCAGTTCACTATAAGGTGATTGTGGGGCAAAGAAACTCACTCTATTGTATTGGCTGTCACTCTATCAACATCAAAGTGAAGTGGGATTCTGGGCACATGTGGTACAGTCTTGTGCCCTTGCAGATTTTTAGGTGGTAAGGGTGGGGCTGGAGAAACATTGATCTGTTGTTCCTCTTATTGATGCATTATTGGTTGATTCTTACCAGTGACTGGGGGGTCGAAACCGCCACCTTGGAGTATCACAGTGATGCTCTAACCAACTGACCTACCAGCCACGGCAAGATGAATTTTTTTAAATATTTATTACTGAATAGTTTCTAGGGGAGAAGATACATTGGTTTGGCACTCACGCACTCTTTTCACAGCCAGTCGGCGTACCTGTGCGTGGTGGCAACTTACAAAAATAAAGGATATTGATTTTTTTTCTTTTTTTTTTAAACAAATAAGAAGCCAGAGTGAGGAAGCATTGCTTGGCGGTCTCTGCCACCCCCGCTCCACGCCCGGTCTTGAAATTAGGCGTCCTTGTCCGTGAACGTTGCAGGCACGCGGCTCTGCCCTTTTTGTGGGCCCCTCTCCCTGCGACTTGGTGTGTTTACCGCTTAGTAGAGTCAGTTTCATTCTTTTTTTTTTTTCTTTTTCTTTTTCTTTTTTAGATTTTATTTACTTTTAGAGTGAGGGGGAGGGAGAGAGAAAGAAAGGAAGAAAAACATCGATTAATTGCCACTTGCGTGCCTACAGCCAGGGGCCTGGCCCGTGGCCCAGGCATGTGCCCTGACTGGGAATCGAACCGGTGACCTTTCAGTCTGCAGGACAATGCCCAACCCACCAAGCCAGACCAGCCAGGGCAGTCATTCTTTATTCACTCTAAATCCTATAGAGTTTCTTTTTTTCTTTTTGTTTTTAAATTTCATTTTTATTTATTTTTAGAGAGAAGGGGAGGGAAGGAGAAAGAGAGGGAGAGAAACATCAGTGTAGTTGCCTATCATGTGCCCCCTGCTGGGGGCCCAACCTGGCCCACAGCCCAGGCATGTGCCCTAACTGGGAATCAAACTGGTGACCCTTTGTTTAGAAGGCTGGCACCCAATCCACTGAGCCGCACCAGCCAGGGCCCTACAGAGTTTCTTAAACACTGAATGTTATTTCCTAGTAGCCAGATACCTTGGCTTAGCAAGGACTCTGTTACTTACTTACTGCCCTTCCAGATCTCCAGTCCTACTCAACAGCAGATGTTACCAGCAGGTCACGCGTACTTGGAGTGATGGTCTGTGTGTCCGTGTCTCTGTTGTCCTTACACAGCCACATTTTATAACTGAAAAAATTCTGTTTGTACTATGCATAACCAATAATTGCAGTGTCCAAGAAAATCTTGTTTTAGCCATTTTCTTTTTATTTCTATACAATTAAAAATAAAATGAAACATTAGTATGATTTTTACAAATATTTTGTTTATTTTAATGAAGCTGGTACCAACTGTCCATTTAAAACTCATCGCAGGCCAAAAAGCACAAATAAAATCAAAAAGAGCAGTGTTCCATTGTACGCACTTCTACATGAATAACTTTAGTAACTGCTAGTGAACAGTAGAACTTGACTGGGATCTTTGGACAAGATTTTCCTTTACTCTTAGAACGCTTCCTCGTCAGTGACGCCCCCTTTGGAGCGAGCCTTAACATGCACCTTATCAGTCATCCAGACTCCATCCTGGTATTGCTCTCTTGGTCCAGACCTGCAGATCTGGAAGCAGCTTCCTTCCAGTCGAGGAAAGGTCATTTGTCCGCAGTTGAGCTTCTGAGGATCTCCCATATCCCACTGGAAGCTATAGTCCGGGGGGGGGAGCAGTCACGGGAAAGGTGGCCACCCCGTGCACACCTGTCCTGTCTTAGGAAGAGCAGGCGATGAGAAGGGCGCTGTGCTGTGGTCACCGAGGTCAGCACGATGAATGCACGCAGCAGTGAGTGGGCGCTGGCATCCCCCTCACCAGAGGTGGTAGAGAGAGGGAGGGGTCAGTTTTCAGTTTCATTTTAAACTCCACATTACAAAAGAACCGTTTGTAAGAATAGAAGGGGGTTTGGAAAAAAGAATAAAAAGTCTCTAAACTGTGGAATGACGCCTCTTTGTTCCTGATAAATGTTAATCACGTCTTTTCCCTCCATCCCCAGTTCTCCTGGGGTGCGATTATCAGCCATTCTCTGACCTTTGAAGGCAGCCCGAGGGAATTCACTGAAACGCCCTGTCTTTGACAGCCGGGTTCCTCGAGTTTCTTGAGATGGGTCGTCATTTTCAGTTCGCAGGGCGTCTCACTGCTAGCTTCTCCAGTGACTTGGAGTTTAACGTGTTCCTCCTTCTTGTGCCCCGAGTCCTCGTGGGAAGGTTTTGCCGCCCCGTCAGGCACGGCGATGCTGGCTCCCCCCGGGTCTCACACAGCAGTGGCCTCAGGCGGCGGAGCCTCGCTCCGGCGGAGACTGCAAACGCGTCTCGTGTCTCCCGCAGCATGATTCACTACTTTGCACCTTAAGGGTGATTCCTTGCCCGCTGTCCAACAGCCTTAGTCTTCCAAAGAGGTTGCCGGTATGATCTCATGGTAATGGAAAGGAAAGAGAGCCCGTGTGCTGGGTGGTCACAGCGAGAACGGGATGCGAAGGGGGAACCCGGTGGGAAGTACTTCAGAATGGTGCTGGCGTGATGAGCAGTTTCCTTTCCACGCCCCTCCCGCCGCTGTGGCACACCCTTCCACAGTCCCAAAGCATCTTGAATTCCTAAGCTGCACGGGTCGGTTGCCTACTGGAGATGATTCTCTTCGCAGTGTGGACTTCCCGGCCCTGGTGGTGAAGGCCAGCGGCCTGGCGGCGGGGAAAGGGGTGACTGTCGCCAGGAACAGAAAGGAGGCCTGCAGCGCGGTCCAGCGGATCATGCAGGTCGGTGTCCGGGACAGCGTGGTTTTCTGGTCACACTGGGTGACACCCGTAACTCTTAGCTCTTAAGTTCCCACAGTGTTCTTCAAGATGAGGAAGCCGTGTCCCACAAACACAGGTAAGTTGCTTTTCATGGTACTTTGCGTTATGATCCGTCCCCGTACAAGAGTTGGGGCAGACCAACATGGACGGCTGCACGGTGACTCTGTTCTTGGGAAGCACGTCCTAGCATCTTGGGTTTCCTGCTCCCGAAAGGCGGGAGATCCTCAGACTGTCGAGCGTACAGGTGACTTCTCAGTCGTCCGTGAGGACTGAAGTCCCCGCCCTTTGCACCCGCATCTCAGGAGGGGAAGCAGGGTTCATCTTGGTTGCTGTGGGCTCCCCTCCTGCAGGAATCTGCTTTCACAGACATTCTGCAGTGTGATCGGAGGCAAACGTATCGTTATCCTCAGAAGGGAGAACCAGTGGGGGCCGGAGAAAACGTCTCTTCCTCACTCCCTTCCGTCCGTACCTGCGCTGGCTCTGTGCCGCTGCCCCTTTAGAAACGAAGCGTCCACCTGTTTCTCCGCGGCTGTGGGAAGGGGAAGGGGCAGTCGCGGAGCTGGTGTGCTGGCTCACAATGCACATGGAAGGAGATGACAGCCAGTTGCATATAAAAGCTTACAGTTCACGTTTTTTATTTTTTAATCTACGATAAGGATAAAACCTTGGGAGCAGCCGGAGAAACCGTCGTCATTGAAGAGCTTCTCGAGGGAGAGGAGGTGTCGGTGAGTGTGTCCGACTCCCAGACCTTCGTGGCGCGCACGGAGCTGCCGCGCCCAGGACGCCCGGTCCACCCTGGTGGTTTCGCCTGACGGCGCAGACCCCACAGTTACAACGGGACGTGCACACGTGTAGTGTTGGGGGTGCGAGTGAAAAACGAGTGCATCCCTTTTTAATCATCCCGGTGTCTCGGTGAAGGACTTGTATCAAACACTATTGAAAGGGGGAAAAGGTTGAAATACTTTACTTGGAAGGTAGTTGGATTTTTTGCCTAGCCTGTTCTTGTTGTAGATAGCTTAGGGTTTTTTATATTTTAACTCACTTTACTTGAAAAAAAGAAAACTTCTCCTCTAAGAAGAGTTAGGGTGCATGTTCCCCTTATTAATTAATGTTCGCACTCTCTGGTGTCCATGGTAACTGGACCGTCCTGCTCTCTCTGCAGTGTCTGTGCTTCACCGACGGGCTGACCGTGGCCGCCATGCCCCCCGCCCAGGATCATAAGCGACTGCTGGAGAGAGACCACGGCCCCAACACGGGGGGCATGGGCGCCTACTGTCCGGTGCCTCAGGTGCGTCCCGGGGCGGCGGGGGTCCGCCAGGGGCCGCCGGGTCTTCTCGGGGAGCTCAGGTGCTTCTCTGTTTAGGGTCATTTTTAACTCTCAGAGGTCGGTCATCTTTCCTATTTTATAAGAAAACCCTAGATATCTACTTGATAAAGGGGCAGCGCAAGGATTTTAAAAGTTTATGAATTTAAAGTGGTTGCCCCTTCTCAGGTGGTAAATAAATGGTAGTTTTCCTCGCCTTTTTTCATTGTCCCTTGTACCGCTTAGAAAGTGATTTTTGAAAATACCAATTAGATTCACATATCTCTGTCTGTTCCCAGGTTTCTAAGGATTTGTTGCTAGAAATTAAAGACGCCATTCTCCAGAGGACAGTGGACGGCATGCGGCGGGACGGCGTGCCGTACACAGGTGAGCACAGGACGCTCCCGGGCACCGCGCACGGAGCCGCTTCACCGCTTCGACAGACTTCCCCGCTTTCGCTCTTGTTCACCACCTAGTAGTCGGCCACTGCAGTGCCGTTTGCTACTGTTGTCCCATGCCCCCGTGAATGTCAGAACTCTGTGTTCTAATCTCCAGTCACAATACGATGTGAGCGCGCCCTGGCCGGTGTGGCTCAGGAGATTGAGCGCTGGCCGGCAAATGGAAAGGTCTCAGGGCCAACTCCCGGTCAAGGCAGTTGGGTTTCGGGCCAGGTCCCTGCTCGAGGGCGCGCGAGAGGCAGCCGACTGACTGATGGGTGTTTCTCTCCCTCTCTTCCTCCCTCCCTTCCCCTCTCTCTGAAAATAAATAAGTAAAATCTTTCTTAAAAATACAGTGTCTTCACTATATATTTTTTCCTTTTTAATGAAGGTGTCCTCTATGCTGGTATAATGCTGACCAAGGACGGCCCAAAGGTTCTGGAGTTTAATTGCCGTTTCGGTGATCCGGAATGCCAAGTGAGTAATGATTGAAGAAAATTAAAGCATTGCTTTGTAGAAGGTGTGTGTTGGTGTTTTTGCTTGTTTGTTGGTTGCTTTTAAGATCTTACTTATTTTTCGACAGGGAAGAGAAGGAAAAAGAGGGAGAGAAACCTCAATGTGCGGTTGCCTCTTGCACGCCCCCTACTGGGGACCTGGCCTGCAACCCAGGCATGTGCCCTCACTGGGGCTCGAACCAGTAACCTTCTGGTTCGCAGCCCACACTCGATCCACTGAGCTACAGCAGCCAGAGCACGATGTGTGTGGTTTCAGTCTCAGGATTTATGAGCCTTGAAATAATTACCTTTGAAAAACACAGTTGACCCAGAGCAACATGGATTTGAACTATGTGGGTCCACCTACATGCAGATTTTTAAAAATAAATACACCATCAGCCCTTTCTGTTCCTGGGTTTTGAATCTGCAGATTCAACCTACTTCAGATCGAAAACAGTGTTTTTCGGTCTGTGGTAGGGAATCCAGGGATGCGGAAGACTGACTGATTACATTGATCTCTGCTGTTTTCGTAAGGGACTTGAGCATCTATAGATTTTGGAATCCGCAGCCCGCTGGAACCACTGTCCTGCGGATGGTGAGGGACAACTGTAGTTAAGTTTGGGGGGAGGCATAAGTCACATGCGGTTTTCGACTGTGCAGGGGTTGGGACCCCAGCTCCCACGTTGCTCCTGGGTCCACTGTATATGCCGGTTTCGCTGGTACCCCAGTGAATAAAATATCTGAGATCTAAAATTCCTCTCAACTGCCATGCTGATTATGTCTTTCCAGGTAATCCTCCCACTTCTGAAAAGCGATCTTTACGAAGTGATTCAATCTGCCCTGGACGGCCGGCTCTGCCAGTCTCTGCCTGTTTGGCTTGAAAACCGTGCGGCTCTGACTGTCGTCATGGCGAGTCAGGGTTACCCAGGAGACTACACCAAGGGCGTGGAGATAACAGGTGACTGCTGGGGACGAAAGGTTGATATCAGTGTGACAAGCGACCAGTGCCTCTGTCTGATACTGCTCTGCTCTTCTTTTCCTTGTTTGTTTGTGTTGTGTGTGTGTGTGTGTGTGTGTGTGTGTGTGTGTGTTTTAATTTGCTGTGCTCTGCTCATCCTAAGTCTGCGAGGCCATCACAAATCTTTCAGGGGTTCTGCACACAATCATCTTGCTTGTTGGATATGAGTGTTCAGATATCCAAAATTGCTGTAAGCAAAGAACTGCCATCCTGCCCTGGCCAGTGTGGCTCAGTGGGTTGGAGCATCGTCCTGTAAACCAAAGGGTCGCTGGTTCGATGCCCAGTCAGGGCACATGCCTAGATTGCAGGTTGGGTCACCTAGCTGGGGTGTGTACAAGAAGTAGCTGGTCCATGTTGCTCTCTCACATCGACGGTTCTCTCATTTTCTCTCTCCCTCTGTCTCTAAAACCAATAAGCATGCCCTTGGGTCAGTCTTTAAAAAAAATAAAAGAACTGCCATCCATTTCCCTTTTTGGACAAGAAAGACTGGCGTGGGCCTGGCTGAGAGTCAGGAAGACACTGGAACTGGGTGAGAGTCGGGAGAACATTAGTGTGAACTGTGTCTCACGGATGCATCCGTGAGACACAGTTCAGATGTTTCATCTCAAGTGCACCCCCAAGTCTGCAGTGCACCCCAGCTCGCCTGGACAGCAAAATTCAAACACTTGTGAAAGTGCGGCCTTCTCTTCTACTTCTCTTTACAGAGAGTGAGGCAGCTAGTTAAACAGTGTTGAATAGAACAGTGTTTTAAAATGCCAAATAAGTCCCAGCGCCACAGCCCAAAGGCAGGCCCCTGTGACCCTGGCAGGCCGGGCCCCCCCCCGAGCCTCTGCGTGTGCTGGACTCAAACACCCCACTTCCTGCCTCACCCCAGCAAGAAGCCCATTGCTCTGTGAACCCCACGCATGGTAGCTGGGCGGTTAGGAAACGACAGCTTTTTTCACGTGAGCCTAAAAGGGGGGTGGGGGTAGGGTGAAGACCCTTTGTATGCGTGAGTCCCCTGAGGTTAAGGTGCAGGTATAATGGTCATTTCTGACGCAGCAGTGTTGGGTACTGCCAGTGCCAGCAGGAATTTGGGAAGCTAGAACCGAATACTCCTATACTACAAACACACTTCGGGGAGGCCTGGGTTCACGAATTACCAGATATGATGCTGAAAGAGAAATGGCGACAGTAAAGGACAAACGGGGGGAAGGGTTAAGAATAGTTTTCTTCTTAAAAATTAAGAGATATCTTTGTATAAACCGTCTGTGTTTGTCGTTTTAGAATCTAGAAAGTGCAGCCTAATAATATTTTAAGCATAAAATATATGAGAGCTTTTAAAATAATTCAAAAGAAAATGAAGCTAGGGTTATTAAGATTGCATCTAAAACCTAACTTAAATTTCTTTCAAATTTTACAACTGTGTTATTGGGGGAAAGGTTAAGAATACATTATGCATTGAATGATTCTGTTGGTTATTTAAAAAAGAAAGAAGAAAGCACCGTTACCTGGGTAGCTGTGATAAAAGGAACTTCTTTACTCTTAAGTAACAGGCGGGCTCAAATCCAGGATTATTCATTGATAATTAGGTTTCATGCCCTTTTTTCATACTTTTTTTGTTTTGTTCTGTTTTTAACTTGGATAAAAACAACTTTCTACTTTTAAATCTCAAACTTTTCAGGGCTTAGCTTTTTGCCCTCATTGAAACAATAGTTCCTATGTGAAATTTACAAAAGCACAGGGTTTGGGGAATTGCATTATCGCCCTAGAGCAGAACAGGCTGTCCTTGGGAGATAGTGTTTGTCTACTACGACATTGCATTAAGTCCTTCCAGATAGGATTCTTGTGAAGGTTCATTAAAGTGAAATAAAGATTCTGTTTTTTTAAAAAAAGCTTCAGCCCTGGCTGGCGTAGCTCAGTGGATTGAGCACAGGCTGTGAACCTAAGTGTCGCAGGTTCGATTCCCAGTCAGGCCACATGCCTGGGTTGCAGGCCACGGCCCCCAGCAACCGCACATTGATGTTTCTCTCTCTCTCTCTTTCTCCCTCCCTTCCCTCTCTAAAAATAAATAAATAAAATCTTTTTTAAAAAGCTTCAGGAAATTACCAACCACCTGACCAGTGTACAATATTGCAATTGTGAGTACTAAGTCCAGTGCGCCGTCTTGCAGGGTTTGCTGAGGCCCACAGTTTGGGGCTGGAGGTGTTCCACGCAGGCACTGCCCTAAAGGACGGCAAGGTGGTGACGAACGGAGGGAGAGTCCTTGCGGTGACTGCCATCCGGGAAAACCTCGTCTTGGCCCTTGAGGAAGCCAGGAAAGGACTGGCTGCTATCAAGTTCGAGGGCGCAGTTTACAGGAAGGACATAGGCCACAGAGCCATAGCGTTCCTCGATCAGCAGCCCAGGTAAATCCCTCCCTGTGGCGATGGCAGCGCAGCTTCGCGCTGGCGCGCCCGGCCCCACGGGCGTCCCATGGCCCTGCGGCAGGTCAGTCCTTGCCCACCCTGTGGGACTGATCCGGTTTCGATGTGCGTTTAGTTTGACTCAAAACGACTTAGAATAACATTTAAATGAAATGGAAAAAAACTTCACGGTAGCTCCTTCTGTTTGAAAAGTTTAGTAAAATCATAGTGATATTAAGGATTTGTTTCACATTGTACACTTTAAATGTATGCAATCATTTGTGTGTTGTCAGCGAAACAGGGGAAAGGATTTTTATTCCTTGAGTTACTGTGTATTTAAATATTACTGTTAACTTACAATTCCTGGTTTCATCAAAGAGTTCAAGATGAAAATACTGGTCATCCACTTTTCAACTTGACCTGAAGGTTCTGTACACTTGGCCGTCGCCTTCGCCGCCGCATTTGTTCCCCTCACCGAAATGGGTTTTCTCCCCGTTGAGTCATTTGTTGACATGGAGAACTATTCCTTTGTAGAGATCAATAAACTTTTCACTGCAAGTGTGAGTGTTTTGTTTTCTTAGCTGTATATCAGTTGCTCTTCTTTGTTGAGTTCACCTGTGACAAATGAATAAGATTTAGGACAGCCCTGGCTGGCGTAGCTCAGTGGATTGAGTGCGGGCTGCGAACCAAAGTGTCTCAGGTTGGATTCCCAGTCAGGGCACATGCCTGGGTTGCAGGCCATAGCCCCCAGCAACCGCACATTGATGTTTCTCCCTCTCCCTCTCCCTCCCTTCCTTCTCTCTCTAAAAATAAATAAATAAAATCTTTAAAAAAAAAAGAGGACAAAATAGGAAATGGTAAGCAACTTAATTCAGGCTGTACTGCTACCAATAGGCAAGTTTTCAAAGTTTAAATACTGGCTGCTTATTTTTGTTGTTGTTGTTGTTGAAATAAGAGCCTGCTAAAATTTTATTTTTTTATTTTAAAGTGACCAGATTTCATTGGAATGATTTATTTCTAGCGACCACAATCTTAATAGTCTGAGTTCTTTGAAATACAGGTGAAAGTGTTTTAAACCGGTAGAACCAAGTATACTTGTAGCCTAGTACCCTGTATTTAATAAAACTTAACAGGCTTCTTCATATGTTACCAGGTCCCACGAGGCCAGAGTCCTCGTCTCTACGGCACCACCGCCGCCAGCCACGCTTGCCCTGTGTGGGAGACGAGGTGCCGTACATGATCCTGTTTTTCTTTCTTTCTTTCTTTCTTTCTTTCTTTTTTTTTACCTTGTTTCTTGACTGTCTTCAGCTATCAGGAAATTTAAACTGCTCTATTGTTACAGTAAGCTCAGTTTCATTATTTAGGGATTTTTTTTTTGTAGAGTTCCTAGAATCCTAATTTTTACCTTTTTTACTTAGTTTCAACACTCCTTTCCTTCCCATTCCAGAACTGAACAGAGAAAGGTTATGGCAAAATGTCAGTATACGCAGCTGCTTGTGAGAAGCACTTACGTGTTACGGAGGAGTTGGGTTAGAGACATCATCTCCCATAGTGATGGTACCGCCCATCAGCTTGTGCATTTCCAGGGTCTTCAGTGTCTGTGGAGGGGGCCCTGCACGTGGAGGGCTATGAAAATCACTAGGAGTGTCTTCTGCTTTAAATACTATTTTAAGATTAAAATACTTTTCTTTGACATTTAGGTGATGTCCTAGGTTTAGTTCTGTTTTCTTCATTCTTTAGGGGCCTGACTTACAAGGACTCTGGGGTAGATATTGAAGCTGGAAATATGCTGGTCAAGAAAATTAAACCTTTAGCCAAAGCCACCTCCAGACCAGGTAAGTCAGATGCTGCCCTTTGCTAGTTCATCCCCTTGGACAGACGCCATGGGCTGATTTGGGCTTTGTAGTTCACAGCAGAAGGCGTTCCACATTACTGCCAGGCTCTGTAAGCCTTACCCAGTAAGCCAGGCAGACCCACAGTTTTGCTTCTGGTCTCTGTTATTGAGAAGAGCATTTCTTGTTTATGATGTCAGACTCAAAAGGCTACATCTGCCCCTTTGGTATTTGATCACTTTCTCGAGCAGCGCTGTGAGTGTGTGGCCCCCTCCTCCACCCCCAGGAGGGGCATCGTGAAGGGGGCTCTGCGTGCTCGTGTTGACCTGGTCTGGGGAGGTGCTTCGAGCAATTCATTTCCTCTCCCACAGGCTGTCGTGTTGACCTTGGAGGTTTCGCCGGTCTTTGTGATCTGAGGGTAGCCGGTTTCCGGGACCCCCTGCTGGCCTGTGGAACGGATGGCGTTGGGACGAAACTGAAGGTAACCGGGCATCTTTGTGAGCAAAGGCCTTTTGTGGAAGACGGAGGGGGGTTGGCTGCATGTCCAGCACGTCTTTTCCCCTTTTGACGTAGAGGCACTGAAGAAAACCATACCAAATAACCATATACTATGACTACAATAGCCACTTGTTTCTAACGATACAGTGTTGTTGGGGCTACCGTATTTTGCCATGTATAATGCGCACCCATATTTTGGCCCAAGCTTTCGGGAAAGAAAAAAAATTTTTTTAAAGATTTTCTTTATTTATCTTTACAGAGGGAAGGGAGGGAGAGAGAGAAAGAGAAACATCAATGTGCGGTTGCTGGGGGTCATGGCCTGCAACCCAGGCATGTGCCCTGACTGGGAGTTGAACCTGCGACACTTTGGTTCGCAGCCCGCGCTCAATCCACTGAGCTACGCCAGCCAGGGGGAAAAAAATTATTTTAATTTTTTAATTCCATTTTCATTTATTTATATTTAGAAACAAAACCGATTACCATATTCCAGGGTATTATTTTGAATACGGATATTGTTACTGCTTTCTAGAGTTACACTTTTAACACATAAGCATAAATAAAAGAATCAAAAACATTTATATGAATATGAAATTAGTGCTATGCATGTATAATGCTCATCCTTATTTTTCCCTCAAAAGTTTGCAGGGGGAAATGTGCATTATATACAGCAAATATGGTATATCTGGATGGCAGGGTTGTTTTAGGGGATAAAAGGGGCTACATTTGGACTGAGTAGTTAGCTTATCAGAGTTAGTGTTCTTTTGTCTTCAGGGGTTCTGAGCGGCTAGCTGCAAGTTGATATTTATTAGCCTCCACTGCTAAATCGACGAGGTATAAAATCTGGACCTTAACCCTTTGCGGATGTTCCTGTTCTCCAGATTGCCCAGCAGTGCAACAAACACGATACCGTCGGCCAGGACTTGGTTGCTATGTGTGTGAACGACATCCTGGCGCAAGGAGCAGAGCCCCTCTTCTTCCTCGATTACTTTTCCTGTGGGAAACTCGACCTCGGCACCGCGGAAGCTGTCGTGGCTGGAATTGCCAAAGCGTGCGTGGAAGCTGGGTGTGCGCTCCTCGGTACGGCCGCCCGCTGTAGCCCCTGCTGTGTGTGAGTGTGACCGGCACAGCTGATGAGAGAGGCTGTCGGTCGCAAGAGGAGGCCCGTAAAACACAGATGACACTGCCCGAAGAGAACTCAGACCCTGGCGGCCCGAAACCCCTCCTTGGGGGTGTCGCCCGGGCTCACCGCCTGCTGCCCACCGGGCCTCCTCCGGCTCCTCCTCACGGACCCCGCAGCAGAGGCAGGCAGGGTCTGGGCGCTCTAAATCTGCAGTTTATTTTCCTTCGGAAGGACATAAAACGTGCCCAAGGTTTATGGAGACGTTGCTTATATACTTGTGTTATGTCCAGCTCGTGAAAGTAAGCTGACTAAGGTAGTGGTCCATTGTGGCTGGGGTTAATTGTACACCTCTAAGATGGGTGTGCAAACTTCAGGATTTCTTTGTTCTCGTCTGATGTCCTGCCAGGGGGAGAGACAGCAGAAATGCCGGACATGTACCCTCCCGGAGAATACGACCTGGCCGGTTTTGCCGTCGGCGCCATGGAGCGGGACGAGCAGCTCCCCCACCTGGAGGATATCGCAGAAGGGGATATGGTTATTGGGGTAGCTTCATCCGGTCTCCACAGCAACGGCTTTAGCCTCGTGAGGAAAGTCGTAGCGAAGTCTTCCCTTCAGTACTCCTCCCCGGCGCCTGACGGCAGCAACCAGACCTTAGGTGAACATGCTTTCGTTCAGCCTCCTGCTGGGAGGTGTCTCCGCAGCCGCCTGGGGGGTTAGCCTCTCACCAGAGTGGGATACGCACCACGGCCCTGTGGTCCTGCTTGGACGCTGCTGCGGGACGGCTGGGTCTGTGTGGGGTCACGCGCATTCCGTTCCAGCCTTGCTGACCGTGCCTGCTTTAGTTTTACATGCGTGGGCTAAGTCTTCGTCTTCTCTGTCCAATGTGCAGGCGACTTGCTTCTGACTCCCACCAGGATCTACAGCCGGTCGCTGCTGCCCATCTTGCGCTCAGGACACGTCAAGGCCCTTGCCCACATCACTGGTGGGGGGTTGCTGGAAAACATCCCCCGAGTCCTTCCGCAGAGACTCGGGGTGGACTTAGGTGAGCTCCCTAAAACCCCTGGGGGGTCCTGCGGGAAGTTAGTGCACAGGGGCTCACACCGGGAAGGTTCTTACCTTTGGGGTTTCCTGGGGAGAGAGTAGGGCAGACCCCTCTCTACCTTTTTTTGCCCTGTGAGCCTTGTCTACAAGGCACACAATCCTCTGACACACTGGGCTCACATAAGGTGAAGTGCTGTGAGATCCCCCCCAGGGGGGTGGGGATCTCGAGTCTGTCAAGCTGGAACCGGGAACGTGCTGGAAAGGGCAGAGGCGGCTCCTAAATAGTCCCTGGTGGGAGGCAGAGAAGAGCTGAGCGGAGACGTGGGGAGGGAGGCGGACCTGAGAATCACTTCGTGCTCCGAAGGGAGAAGAAGCCCCGTGTTTCTGGTAAGCAGGCGAGCAGACGGCAACCCCCCGGCGGCGGGGAGCACAGGTCCGCAGCAGGCCGCGGAGTCCAGCGCTTGTCTCCGTGTGTGCTTGCGGGCAGTCTGAGCTGATGTGTGCTTGCGGGCAGTCTGAGCTGAAGTCGAGGTTAAAAGTGAGTTGGGTGCTCGCAGGCAGACAGTTACAGCCAACGCCAAGAGAGTAGAGGGGACCCCACGGTTGTTCCCGGTGTTCTCCCCGCCGTAGTGGAGGTAGAATCGCTGAAGAGGAACAGTCAGAAGTGGAGTGAGCCTGTGCCAGTGTCCCCAGCTCCCAGCAAGGATTCGAACAGGACACTGGTCAGCACTGTCAGGTGCAGCACAGGGAGGACCAGAAACCGGCCACGTGCTTCAGAGTTGGTCCAAAAAGCAGCTTGGTGAGGGTGCGAACTCCCCCGCACACACAGATTATTGGGGGGGTGATGGGTGCAGGGACACAGGCCGTGCCTGGAGAGGGCCGCTCGGGAAGCCGGCTGGTTGAAGGAAGTTAATACAAACCTCTCTACAGAGCTTGCCACGTCAGGGCACTCCGAGTCGGTCTAGCCATGTCCCTAAAAGCCACTGCGTTCTGAGTTGCACAGTGTCTGTGTCCCGGTGGAAAGGAGCCTTGGTCCCTTGTACCTGCATTTGCGGTTTCTCCCAGGAATTGTACTTTGACAACAGATCTGAGGAATTGTCAGTATTAAAGCTACCACTTGGCTTATTCACGACTGACTTGATCGTTTGTAGAAACTAGGCTCTTAGCTTATCCGACTCTTTATAAATAAGTTCCTTGGAAATACTTGTGAAAGTGTCACAGTTGGGTAATCTGCCCCTTACCCTGCCATTTACTGTGTCATCAGTATCTACCTGTCATAGTGTCATTTTTGATTAAGCAGATTCCATCTTTTATGGACCCACCATGGTTTGGTTTTAGGTCGCTGTTGACTTTTGACTTGATAGAAAAGTGAACATTATAATAGCTAAGTCAGTTGAGCTCAATTTTTGTTTTGTTTTAAAGATTTTATTTATCTGTTTTTAGAGAGGTGAAGGGGAGAGAGAAGCATCAATGTGTGGTTGCCTATCGCACGCCACCAATGGGGACTGGGCCCACAACCCAGGCATGTGCCCTGGCTGGGAGTCGAACCGGCAACCCTTTGGTCTGCAGGCCAGCGCTCAATCCTCTGAGCCACACCAGCCAGGGCTGAGCTCAACTTTGAAAGTGGACATTTCACCGCTAGTAGGAGTGGAACTAAATCTGGTAGGCAGAGGAGTCGTGGTACCTCCTAGAAACGGTGTCAGCTCCTAGAGCATTGAAAGCTAATTACCCTGCAGACACACCACTAAGGAGGCTGGAGAGCCAACCTCATCGCGTAATAAAAAGCTAAGTTCACAACGGCTTCCTTTTCTGAGGAGCATCATGATGAAATCGTTTAATTCAATATAGTTTTTGTAAGTCGAATCCCATAATTACAGATTCTGAAGACATTTTTGTTGTATTATTCATGATACTAGAGAATATATTCTTAAAACAGATGTAAGCCTAAATTTTTTTAAATTAATAAATGAGCCCTGGCTGGTGTAGCTCAGTGGACTGAGCGCGGGTTACAAACCAAAGGGTCGCCAGATCGACTCCCAGTCAGGGCACGTGCCTGGGTTTCGAGCCAGGTCCCAAGTACGGGATGTGTGAGAAGCAACCACACATTGATATTTCTCTCCTTGTCTTCCCCCTCTCTAAAAATGAATAAATAAAATCTTTAAAAAAGTAAATGTAGAGGGATAGGGTATTTGATTTTAAACCTTTTATAACATGGCTTTTCTTTAACAGTGTATGCATTTCCTTTCAATCTGCATATAAGCCTCCTAGTCTTGCCTCGCACTTACGGTGCATTCTGGTCATCACTAAGACCCCAACTGACCATTCACGAGAGGTAGTGCGCCAGCATTTACTGGAATTCAGCTGTTAGCTCGTGTAACCCATTAGGGGTCTCTAAGAACCTAGGTAGTTAATGCGGCGCAAGACCCCACTCACTTGCGAATGCCGGCCACGTGGGGCACAGAAGTGTCCTCGGAGTCCGAGGCGCCCGCGTTTGCGGGGCCATCTGTGGTCTCGCCCTGCGCAACGCGGCAGCACCGTCTGTGTGCGCGCACGCCTTTCTGCGTGGTGTGAGACGGCAGGCGAATCGGACAACGCTACCCGTTTGCAGATGCCTGCGCCTGGAAGATCCCCGCCGTCTTCTCGTGGCTACAGCAGCAAGGACACCTCTCTGAGGAAGAGATGGCCCGGACATTTAACTGCGGGGTTGGCGTTGTCCTCGTGGTATCACGGTCCCTGATGGTGCCGGTTCTGGAGGACCTTCGGCTGCACCGGGAGGAAGCCTGGGAGATTGGCGTGGTGGTGGCCTGCCCTGAAGGTAATGGCTGCTTGCTTGATTGCTTACGTCGCCTTCACTGTAACTGTGCTGCCTTCCACACTGGCTGTGCACCTTTTGTCCAGCCATTGCCGCAGCACAGCCGTAGCAGGTCAGCGGCCACACCGTGGACTCCTGCAGCTCCTCGCCGCACCCCAGGAGGAGCCCAGACCAGGGGTGAGAGCTCGGGAGTAAGTGCCCGCTGCAGGGCCCGCAGGCGGGAGCGGCGCGGGGCGCCGTCTGCAGGGCTCCTTGGGGGGCCCCGGGCGCCCACCGTGGCGACCCGTTGAAGAGCTCACTCGTGTCGGCTGCCCTGTCCCGAGCTGCGGACCTTCACTGCGGTTCCCTGGGCCACTCCCCTGCAGCCTTGTCGCAGGCTCTGCTCTGTGGTTCGGCTCAGATTGGGGAGGAGTGAGCAGCGCCCTGACGAGCACCGTGTGCTCATGAACCGCTCGGGGGGCGGGTGGGGGGGGACTCGGCTGGAAGCACTAGATACTGGCCCGGGGGCAGAGCGCCCGCCCGCTCGGGACCAGCCGACAGGGTGTCGGGGCCCCTGGTTTTGTCGCGTCTGCCCTTCGTCCCTTCATCGTGCAGGTCACACGCCCAAGCAGCCCTCCACACACCGGACGAGTGTCTTGAGCCCACATCCCTCCGCTCATGTTGCAATAAGGAGCCGTGCTCTCTCTTTCTCAACGCCCTGTATCAAATATTTCAATGGCCTTGCGTGGCCGCATGCCTACCGTTGAGGCCAGGAGTTCACACCACCATGGCAGGTGGCAGATTCGGGGGGTAGGGGCAGGCCCGTGGCAGGCGGTCGTGTATCCACTGCAGGCCTGGACACACTCGTGCCCTGTGGCTTTTAGCTAGGTAGGCAGTATGTTCACCTCAAGGAAGTTTTTATGAATGAGGAGTGTTACGTAATACAGGCCTATTGTTTTAGTCCTTGCATATCTTGTTTTCAGAGTAAAATACAGTATCCCAAAGTTTCATAAAGTACTCTCCTTTCTGCTGTCACTGTTCATGCCCGATGGTCCCTTACTCTTTTACTGGATGCGTCTGAAACGAAGGCCACCCCCGAGTGAAGGTCAGGCACCTGATGGAAGCCATGCACGCGAACCCGGCAGCGCTGAAGAACGGCGTGGTGGACAGCCCCTCCTCCATCCGACCGAAGCAGGCCCGAGTGGCTGTCTTAATCTCGGGAACAGGTGAGGTGCGGCTTCCTCTCTCCCGCAGCGCTGGAGAAATGCTCCTCCCGTCCTCCCCCCACCGAGCCCGAGCCACACACACACACACACACACACACACACACACACACACACACACACACACACACACACACACACACACACACACACACACACACACACACACACACACACACACACACACACACACACACACACACACACACACACACACACACACACACACACACACACACACACCCCCCCCCCGCTGCAGATCTGAGCACTCGGCCAGCTGGGGCGGGCCCTGAGGGGGTGTCTTCCTGCACCCTCGGGTGTCCTCAGGGGGTCCACTGTCCCCACACATGGTCCACTGTTCCCACGCATTTGACGTGCTTCCTGCTTCCGTGCCTCTGGACGGGCACGGGGAGGGTTCCGGGGACGCGGCTGCGAGAAGAAAAACTAGGAGAAAACACAGAGTCTGGAGATGGCGGTTTCTTTTGTAGTTAAGTCTTACAATAGTAGAGCGTTTTTTTAATTGTTAATAATGAAAAGGATATGCAATTTGTGTTTAATTCTTGTGGATAGAGTAGTAAAGTAGTAAGAGTATCTCATTCTCTAAGATGGATTTAGCGTGATTATTTTCCCCCACTGTTGTAAGTAGCATTGCTCTGAATGTTCTCGTGATTCACATTGAGTGCCTATCTGGTCATCTCTCTAAGATACATTCCCAGAAGTGTAACTGCTTTTCAGGTCCATTTTAAGACTTCGGAATACTCAGGCCCACACCGCTGGTAAGCAGAGGACCTACGGCGAGGGCCTTGGTGGGCTGTTCCTTTCCTCATTTCATCCCACGTCAGCGTTGCTGGCAGAGGCGAAGCAGCCACTTGCCTTGGTTTGCCGTCAGGAGTTTAAAAGAGATCAGACAGACATTGCACCGTTTACTGTTTCCTCGTGGAAAACATAACGCTTCATTAATTATGTAAAAATAGTCACATCCTTTTATATAAATTGACATGAGAGCATATTGTCCTCGTATCTTAAATGCTCATTATGCTGAATGATTGTTTTGAAGATTTTATTTATTTCTAGAGAGAGGGGAAGGGAAGAAGGAGAGGGAGAGACACATCAATGTGTGTTTGTCTATCGTGCGCCCCTAGGTAGGTACTTGGCCTGCAATCCAGGCATGTGCCCTGACTAGGAATCGAACCGGCCACCTTTTGGTTCACAGGCCAGCACTTAATCCACTGAGCCACACCAGCCAGGGCTGAATGATAGTTCTTTTCCTTTTTTTTTTTTTTTCTTTCTTTTTTTTTAATATTATTTATTCACTTTTAGACAGAGGGGAAGGGAGGGAGAAAGAGAAGAGCAACATCAATGTGTGGCTGCCTCTCACAGCCCCGCACTGGGGACCTGGCCCACAACCCAGGCATGTGCCCCGACCTGGAATCCAACCAGCGACCCTGTGGTTCGCAGCCCACACTCAATCCACTGAGCCACACCAGCCAGGACTGATAGTTCTTTCTTAGAGCAAAATATCCAAAAAAATAGGAGGGATCCATACATTTCATGGATTGTGAGTTAGGGGGAAAAGTGTCGAGGAGCGGTAGGGATGTTTTGGACGGGGTGGGAGGCCTGACTCGGGGTGCCGTGGCAGAAGTACAGTGCACCCCCAGTCCAGACGAGGGCTTTGTGCAGTGGGCCTGAAGCGGGGACGAGTCCCGCCCCGACTTCAGGGGCGGGTGCACAGGCTGGGCCATCCGGCATGTTTGGGAAGCGTCTGTAACGACGACGCAGTGGGAGGAGTTACTGGTTTCCCCAGGCCGTGGTCGGTGCACGAAGACCGCACACCCCACGGGCCTGCCCCCGTCTGAGAGTGTTTCCCTCTACACAAAGTGCACAGGTGTTTCCCCGGGCTTCCTCCCCTCCTGGTCACCCCACCTTCGCCCCCTCCCTGTTGGCACGGACCCGCAGGCTGGGACAACTAGAGCCCTGAATTACACTGTCTAAAGGGCACCTCTGTCTCCCTAAGGAGTCTGCGCTCCCGTGTGTTCCCCTCCTCTGCAGGGTCAAACCTCCAGGCGCTCATCGACGGCACCCGGGAGCCAGGCAGCGCCGCCCACGTCGTGGTCGTCGTCTCCAACAAAGCCGCCGTGGCCGGCCTAGACAGGGCCGAGAGAGCGGGCATCCCCACCAGAGTGAGTGACGCGGGCGGGGCGGGTGTCTCCTGCAGGCTGTGCTGAGGCTCGTCTCCTGCCCCCACTGGCCCTGGGGCTGGGGGCGCCTGTCCTGAGGGGCTCTGGTCCGGGCTGGGTGCTGGGCCTGCCTTTCCGCTGCATCCTGTCTGCTCCCTCACTCTTGACATCGGGGGGGTGTTCAGGAGGAAGTCACGTGTGGTCTGCATAAAGGTCAAGTTTTAAGTCATTTTCTGGTAATTCACTGAAAAAAATCATGCTTCTCTTTCTATTCCAGGTAATCGATCATAAGTTATATAAAAATCGTGAGGAATTTGACACTGCAGTTGACCAAGTCCTGGAAGAGTTCTCCACGGACTTGGTCTGCCTCGCAGGATTCATGAGAATTTTATCTGGCCCCTTTGTCAGAAAGTGGAACGGTAAGCCAAAGTGTTTGACGCCACGTTGAGAAGCCACGTGAAAGGGACTGCGGGCGGCTGGCTGGCCCGGCAGCCCCAGGGAGTGACGTGTTTACGGTGACACGCACGCTGTGGCCTGGGGCACGGTGCCGTTTCCTTGCCTCAGCCCCAGGGTGCCTGCCGACGGCAGATTGTCCTGAGTTCTCTCGGTTTTCTTCCCTAGACTACAAAAGTAGTGTTTCATCCCCCAGTAATCACTCACAGGAGACTTCTTTACACGTCAGAAGCGAGAGCAGCCGACCCCCGGTGGCCCGTGCTCTCCCTGGGAAGTGCAGGCTGTTGCCAGGGGACGGCAGCGAAGGCACTGCTGCCAGAAAACACAGTCCCTGGCGGTAGAGCCTCTTTCCAGAAAAATTCTGACTGCATCCTATGGCGTTTTTTGTGTGTGCCTGTGGGCAGTAGATGTTTTCTTCTCTCCAGAGAGTTAATGTTTCCCGAAGGGACTGCAGTTGTGGTGTAATATGAAACAGGCAGTGCCTCTGGCAACGTAAGGCCCAGAACTAACTGAGCCAGCACCTGGCCGGTGGGCGTGCCGCCTGGGGAAAGGTCAAGCACACAGACGCCGTGCAGGGACTCCCGGAGAGTGTACGCCAGCCACAGGCTGAGTTTTCTTCCAGGGCCTTAGGACCCACATGGGACACCCTGTCCCTGCCTAAGCCCAGCCCCTGCGGAGACCGGTCCTTGTGTCTCCGGGTGTCTCCAGCTGCTCCAGGCGGGAGCTGCCACCGCAGGGCCTCCCTGGGGGAGAGCCGGTGCTTCCCTTGCCCTCGTCGCTAGGAAACCGCCCACCCCGGAGGAGCCCTGCCCCTCTGGCCCCTGGTTCTGGGCAGGGCTGCGTGCGTGCCTTTGCCTGAACCCAGAGGCCGCTTCCACTCTGACCACCGTGCTTTCACTTCGCAGGGAAAATGCTCAACATCCACCCGTCCTTGCTCCCTTCTTTCCGGGGTTCGAACGCCCATGAGCAAGCCCTGGCCGCTGGCGTCACGGTGACGGGGTGCACTGTGCACTTTGTGGCTGTGAGTATGTCTCTGTCTACCGGAGAGGTCCTGCTGCTCACTCAGAGGTAGGTTGTGCCGGCCGGAAAGTCCCGTTCAACGTGGATCATGCTTCCTTTTCCAGGAAGAGGTGGACGCCGGACAGATCGTCCTGCAGGAAGCTGTCCCAGTGAAGCGGGGCGACACTGTCGCCACTCTGTCTGAGCGGGTGAAGTTGGCGGAGCACAGAATCTTCCCCGCAGCCCTGCAGCTGGTGGCCAGCGGGACTGTCCGGCTCGGGGAAGATGGCAAGCTCTGCTACGCCGAGCAGGACTGAGGCTGCCCGGCTCGGGAGGGAGGCCCGGCTGCTTGCACAGTGGCGTTCGCCATGCGCTCGGCCCCGAGGGAAAACTGCTGGGAGCACAGAGGACCCTGCCTGACCTCCTCGGCCATTTTTTAGTGAACAGAGGTTCGTCACAGGCAGGGCCGGCGCGGCACACCCCACGCGTGTACGTGCCGTTGCCCGTGGTCCCTGGCTTTCCCTGCGTACGGCCTCCTTGCTCAGAGCTCCGCTAGTCGTTCAGAGCGCCTTCCGCTTTCAGCCAAACGAGACAGCAAAACTCTTCGTCTCTCTCACCGCCTTCTTCTGCCCAGTGTCACCGCTGGTCCCGGTAGGTTTCCGCAGGCCGGGCAGTTGCCTGGCCCCGGTGTCTCCTCAGACTGGCCGGCCAGCCGCTGCCGCCCGGTAAGCGGAGATTCGGGTGCACCATCTCCCGGAGGCCCCTTCGCGGTAAACACAGTTGGCTCTTTGGTTCTGGAGAGTTTACTCGACATTATTTAGCACCTATTTTTTATTTTTTATATATATATTAAAAATACATAAAAATATATACAGCATGTGTGTGTGTGTGTGTGTGTGTGTGTGTGTGCTTGCGCTAAACCACTGTCCTGTGAAGTATATAGAAAGTTAAAATATCTAAAGGAAAATGTTGGTTGATAAAATCTACTTTAAAAGTAGAGGGTGGAACCGAGATGTAAGACGAATCAGTGTAAACCTACGACTTCAGAAACGGAACTTCTAGGCCTTCCTTTGATGCTGACGGCCGCACAGCACCCCAGACCCCGTGGGAGAGAGCGGGGTCCGAGTCTCGGGGTGGGAGGGAGGGACCACAGTGCGTCCGCGCACCTGGTCGGCAGAAACCAGAGCGCACTGGAAAACAGCGGGCATAGTGCTGGCCGGCGCCAGGCCATTTAACAGGTGTCCCCCTGTCTTGTTTGCGACGGCCCGAGTGTTACTTGGACATGGTGCGTGTACAGGGACACTCAAAGAGAAAAGGTCACTGAAGCTATGAAAACGTCACGACACAAAAAAGGCTGAAAACACCCGGCTGGTGTGGCTCAGTGGGTTGGCATCGTCCCACGGACCGCAAGGTCGCCGGTTCAATTCCCCGTCTAGGCACGTGCCTGGGTTGCAGGTCCGATGCCTGGTCTGAGTGCCTTCGGGAGGCAGCCAGTCGGTGTTATCACGTCAGTGTCTGTCTCCCTCTCCCTCCCCCTCCAGAAAAAGTCAAAAATAAAAATGTTAAAAGGAGTGAAAATATGTCACTATTTTGGTGCAGTACCGAACATGGACATTGTCATTATTGATGTCTTTGTTTCTCTGTGTACGTAGGAGATGAGATCACCCTTGACCACACAGTGTCGGGCAGAGTGACGCTGCGGGGTGGGGGCAGACAGTGGGGTGCCCAAGGTTAAAGGGCCCTGCAGGTCACCTGCAGCCACCAAAGAGAAGGGGTTCGAGTGGCAGCTCCGAGTGCTCTCAAGAGGAATGTTACTTCTAAGAGAGACTTCATTTCTAAGTACTCCCTCTCCATTTTTTTTACTGTCCACTGCTATTCAAACTTTTAAACAACTCAAGTACAACATAGCAGTATTTACTTACACCGAGTTTAACAATGTCCTGCTAGTTCCTCATTACTTTTTCCCCTCATTCTCTCCTGTGGTAAGCCGCCAGAAACAGCCCAAATCGCACCCCAGAGAGCAGCTGGCCCCACAGGCCCTGCTTCCCGTGAGCGCCGGGCCTGCGGCCACCCCGCAACCAAATGCATTCCGCCACCTGTGCCTCTGGGGCAGTCGTCCGGGCTGGACGTTCAGGCAGAGGTATCTGATAGGCGAAGCTGGGGTCACCCTCCCGCCCTCAGCCAGGGTCAGACAGCCAAGCTGCCTCGCACACTAGGGTGGGGGCCCCGCTCAGCAGCCCCTGGGACAAAGGTTCAGCCCCACAGCTGAGGGGGGTACAACAGCCAGTGACTCAGGAAGGGTCCTAAAACCTCAGGTTTCTTTTTTTAAAGCCGGCTTACTGCCTGCACTGCTTCGGACCAGGTAGTCCATCTGTGAATCCTGGCCTCCACCGTTGCTTGGAGAGACGTGTCCGATAGCCCTTCTCTCTCAGGCCCGCGCGCCTCGTGTATACCACAACACAGGGCTGCCTGCCTTTACCTGGAGCCCGCTGTAAATCAGCGTGAAAAATTCGTGAGTGGATCCGACCGTCCAAGTGCCCATCAGCTACGACCTGACAGTGTGGTCTGGTCGTGAGCACTGACACGCACCGCAGCGGGAAGCTTGGAGCCCTGCGCTGAGTGGCGTCACCCGGGCCCAGGCGGCCACAGGGTCGGTCCCGTCCGTCCGCGTGGAATTTCAGAGCCAGGCGGCAAATCCAGAGAGACAGCCTACATCAGTGTTTGCCCAGGGCTGGGCTGTGGGGATAGAGGTATTCGGGGTGAGAACTAAAGGGTGCCGGGGGCTTTTCTGGGCAATGAGAACGTTCCCAAACTGCGGTGGTAGTTCATCACCCCGCGAACATACTGAGACCCGCTGAGTTGAACTGCCCTTTAAATGGGTGGACTGTGGTATGTGCTCCATCAACAAAACTCCCACAAAAAGGAGAACGGCTGTCACTGTAAACATAATTCATAGGTTTTGAAGTATATAAAGATTACATCTAATGTTATAAAATACACCAAACTTATATTTCACATTCAGCCTATTAAGTCACTTAAATGAATAAAATAGGAAGTCCATACTTTGTGACAGAAAGCATACCTAGAGCCCTGGCTGGTATGGCTCATTGGATTGAGTGCCAGCCTGTGAACCACAGGGTCACCGGTTCGATTCCCAGCCAGGGCACATGCCTGGGTTGTGGGCCAGGTTTCCAGTGCGGGGGTGTGAGAGTCAACTACACATTGATGTTTCTCTCCCTCTCGTCCCCTCTCTAAAAAGAAATGTTTTTAAAATGCATATTAAAGACAGTCCATCTGAACGGCGGCCCTCAACCTCAGCCCCTCCGTGTGTTCACCTGCTGCTCCTCGCGGGCCCGCGTATCAAAAATGCTAACTCACCCCCGCGCCTCCCCTGCACTCTGAGCACTGCAATAAATGCATTGAGATTTTGTGCGGGGAGAGTGGGCTTTATTTTTTTCTTTTTTAATTCAATCTTTATTGTATTTTTTCCATTACTATTTAGTCCCCTGATACTCCCCTCCGCCCGGCAGTCACCACACTGTTGTCCGTGTCCATGAGTCATTTTTCCTTTCTGCTCAGCATGGAGATTTTAGTCATTCTGAATCTATTTCCCTTTACAAAAAAAAGGTACATATTTGTACCTTTTGTGGACACTGAAATACTTGTGGACACTGAAAGTCAAACTGCACTTTAAATTTTCTGCACCACTGAACTCCAAAACTGTATGAAAAAAAAAAAAAAGGCTTGTCACAGCAATATCATTCAATTCCTTTGCTTCGGTTATATGCAAAAACAAAAGCTCTATCATCAAAATCATTTTAAATATTCATCTGATAAATCTATTGGGCCTTCCTCCAGTGTTGTTGAAAGCTAAGTATTGGAAACGCTCCAGTTTTAGAAAGGATTTCTTTCTCAGCGCCCATAGCAAATTAACCTTTCAGTTGTGCCTTTAGTGTCCTGGGGATGTCCGCAGAACTCTGGTGAGATTCAGGACAAGTGAAAGCTGCGCCTTTCTTTTGCAAAATGAGGGGAGAATGGTGTTGAGAGAGGAGGTGGTGGGACTTCCTCGAACACAGTGAGGGGTTTGTGGGCCATTAGCTTAGAGAGGGAGGCTCGCACTGACCTGAGCCGGTTGGCAGGTGTCGGTGCTGACAGTGATCACAGCCGGCAGACGACGCACTGAACACTGTCACCAGGCGCAAGGAGAAGCCTTGGAAAGAAGAGGCCATGCAGCAGGGGTCCAGGGAGGGGTCCATGTAGAGAGGGGTACCACGAAGCTAGGAGAACGGTGTCTGAAGGACCAAGCAGAGCAAGGAGAGAGAGACATCTTAATATTTTCCTTGCATGTGGAGGCTCACACCCCACCAAAGTGCAAACACGCGAGGTGGTGTGGTGGCCCTGAAGGAGGCGCGACCTGACACCAGACCTGCAGGACAGGGTGTGAAAAACGCTGACAGGAGCCGCTTTAAAATCGAGCCAGGGCTACGGTCCCAGAGGAGCTGCCTGGCATGTCTCAGCCCTCAAACCTTGGGCTGTTCACGCAGGGCGTGCAAACCTTTGGATCGAACCGAAAGCGACCTCGGGGCCCAAAGAGCTGTGTGCAAGGACGAAAGGAAGCAGGTGGGGCTCTGCCGGGGTCCAGCCTCGGCAGGTCCCTGGGTCCCTGGGTCCCCAAAGGAGGGACGGCTCAGGCGAAACGAATGAAGTAGACACCCGGTCACCTGGGTGCCGGAGGACAGCCAGGCTCTCTAGACCTGACTGACTCCCCGAGAAAAATCAGTCTTTATTTTTATCAGGTAGGTGATACAACATTCAGTGCACAGTGTGATTATTAAAACAGACACGGTTACCATAGAAATAATTTCTGAAAACACGGGTTTTATAGATCAGTCATGTTAAACAAAGAAATAACCAAAAAGAACAGGAAGTCCCACAGATCAATCATATTAAACAAAGGTTATTTTGACCAAGAGGGTCATTAATCAGTTAGCCAACAAAGCTATATGAGCACAAACTTTTAAATGCTGACTATAATTAAATGTCTACTAACTTTCTATAGATTGGTCTAAATCAAAGGGATACAAGGAGTGATTTAAAAATTAGTTATTGTTTATAGAAATTAGATTGTCTAAATTAGATAAATGATTTTTTGCCTAGATCTATTAACTACATATCTAGGGGGTGCTATATTACATTTCCATGTACTGAGATTATTATATTCAAATTAAAACTCCTTCCTCCTCTGTTTACCTGGTCCCATTAATAACCGCTCCTGCCCAGGGCATGGGAAAGGCAGTGGTTCTAATAAATCTTGAGCTTTTGAATGGTGACTCCTTAGACATTCCTAGCAACGGCCTCCTCCAGCATTCTGGCAGCTGGTCTGCCCATAGTTTAAATCTACCCTTAACTTTCCAGGTGGGGGGAGTGGGCAGCATTGGGGTTATTAGGGGCTTCTAGTCAGTGGTCAGCAAGTCATTTCACGCAGAATCAGAGGCATCGTGCAAGGTTTTTTGTTATAAGGCACAGGTGTCCAAAAATCTCACCACCGGATGCTAATAGGGACCGGCATACGGGAAGAGAGAGACAGGAGACCCGGCCACAGCCGCTTCTGCTGTGCAGACGCGTCCCACCCGACCCGACTGTGTGAAAAGGTCGGCTGTTTGTCGGCTCCCGACAGGAGTCCCAGCACAAGGACTAGTGAACTGAACATTGAACATGGTTTAGAATGAACGCCTGTTAGCTTATGTGAAGCAACAGCATTGCCTTCTTCCTCTTGACGCCATTGCCCTTCCTTTTCTGGCCACTACCGCTGGCCTCTGTCTCCTCATCCGAGTGCTACTGGGGTTTCGGCCTGAACTGGCACTTCCGTAATAGCTATTCTTTTTTTACCTCTCACTTGGAAAGGCCTTTTGTAGTTAGGTTCCCAAGAGCACGTGAAGCAAGGCGGAACTCAGGAGGCTAAAGCTCCTGCTTGCTTTTTAGAGTTTTCCGTCTCAGAGACAAGAGTGTGGATGATCCGAGTTCCCGGAGTCCAATGAAGGAGTACCCATGAGGCTCAGAGACCTGTTGGAGCAGTTAGGAGGGCCGCTACCCCGAAGCACCACAGACCGGGTGACCTAGACCACAAAGGCAGCCCACAGCAGGGGCCCTGCGTCTCAGCACTCCTTAGCGACAGACACTCTGGGCCGGAGCAGTCTTTGCGGCGGGTCTGTCCCGTGCACGTGCCGGATGCCGAGCACTGTGCCCGGCCTCTGCCACTCTACGCCAGTAACAATTCCCACTTGTAACAATCACAAGTGTCTCCACCACTTTACCTCCTCACCAACAATGCACAAAGGGGCCAAATTTCTGCATGTTCTCATCATCGCTTGTTATTTTACGATTTTAAAATATATAGTAGCCCTCCCAAGGGATGTGATGTGGTTATCTCCTTGTTGTTTTGATTTTCACTTCCCTAATGATTAGTGATGTTGCCCATCTTTTCTTATACCTGTTAGCCATTTGTCTCTCTTCCTTGGAGACATGTCTATGCAAGGCCTTTGCTCATTTTTTAATCCACGGGTCTTCTTGCTTTCTCTATACTTTTCTCTTTTCCAGTCATACGGTTGGAATTATACAACATGTAGTCTTTTCAGCTGGCTACTTTCACTTAGCCACAGGCATTTAAGGTTCCTCCATGTTTTTTCATAGCTCCATCACTCAATTTTTTTAAAAAGATTTTATTTATCTTTAGAAAGAGGGAATGAAGGGAGAGAGGAAGAGGAACATCAGTGTGTGGTTGCCTCTCACACACCCCCTACTGGGGACCTGGCCTGCAACCCAGGCATGTGCCCTGACTGGGAATTGGACCAGAGACCTAGTTTCCCGGGCTGGTACTCAGTCCACTGAGCCACACCAGCCAGGACTCAATTATTATTATTTTTATCATTGTGTAGATGTATCTATCTACCACCGCTTATCTACTCACATACTCAGAGACATCTTGGTTGCTTCCAGTTTTTGGCAATAATGTATAAATTATTTTTTTAATTTTTATTTTTACAGAGAAGGTAAGGGAGGGAGAAAGAGAGAGAAACATCAACGTATGGTTGCCTGTCATGTGGCCTCTACTGGGGACCTGGCCTGCAACCCAGGCATGTGCCCTGCCTGGGAATCGAACCGGCAAAGCTTTAGTTCGCAGCCTGCACTCAATCTGCTGAGCTACACCAGCCAGGGCTAAATTATTTTTAAGAAATTAGAAGTGAGACACTTACATACAAAAAAGTTGCAAGAATAATACAAAAATTTTCCAATGACCTTTACCCAGACTTCCTGATTAACACTTCCCTCCATGCAGTTTGCTGTTTGTGCGTGTGCTCTCTCTCTCTCTCTCTCTCTCGCCCCTTTGCTCCGTATGTGCGTTTATTTCCAAATCATTGGACAGTAATATGCAGATGCCACATCCCTTTATCCATAAATGTTTCAGTATGTATTTCCTTACAACTAGGACAGAACCAAACGCTCACAGTGGACACCCTTGGAGCAGAGTTAAACCTGAGCTGTCAATAGAAATTATGTGATTCCCTACTTTTATTTAATAGAAGAAATGTTATTTAATCTAGAAGGGCCTCTTCAGAAAGGAGCTTGGGTAACACACTGGGTTCTGTGCTCATTTCCTGTGCTCTTGCACTGAGAACAGTGTCTCTCATCCTCCCCCAGAGACGGAGGGGTCTCTGAACAAGCCCTAAGGTGGAAGGGTCACTCAGGGGCATCCTTGAGTGGTGGGCTTCGCACCCTAACACCTCACTGCATTGCTGTCTTGGGAGTCAGATGTGCCTTAAAACCAATCCTCTCAGACTAGATGGTTCTCCAGCAGTGTTACACGCTACTGAAATGTACTGTTCTGGTGCTAAATCTTTACCTGGAAAGCCGTGAGGAAGAGGAGGCTCTAAGGTCCCCTGCTCTGGTGGGAGATGTGCGCTGGGCCGTCTCATGGCCCAAAGGTATGTTGCCCTACATGCAAAATGACAGTAAAACAAGCTCAGCTAAGGTAAAGACGAACCTTTTTGTCCATAAAGATACCTGCCCGGGGCCTGACTGCCCGCCATGAACTGATTCAAGTTTAGACAGTTTTAATTTCAGACCCTCCTGTGCGCCCACTCCAGGTCTCCGGGTCTGCAAGGCTCCCGCGCAGGCCTGCCCGAGCTGGTCGGGTTTCGCACGGGGCCCCTTTTTCCGCCACACACCCACACCCAGGATCGGAGGGCAGGCCCGGGTGGTTTTAGCGATCGTAATTCATTTTTAGTGTGGTGCGTGATTATTTTTCTCGTTTTTACTGTAAGCAGTGGCACGCACGCTAGCCGGCAGGCCGGTGTGTCCGCACAGCACTCACGCGGGGCACTCGCGGCACCAACCGCCACGGACCGGGACCCGCCCGCAAGCAAGCCTTGCAGATTCTCCTTCCAAGGCTCAGCGGGTCGGGGCAAAGCGAGGTCACGTGGTGGGGTGACGTCAGGCCACGGGTCGCGTGACTAACGCCCGGCCTCGCAGAGGCCCCGCCCCGCCGACAGCGCGGAAACGTCGCGAGAACCTCCTTCCTCCCGGAACTTGCGGAGCTGACCCAAAGTCCCTCAGGGGCAGAGGTGTGGTCGATGGGCGTTGTTTTGCTTCCGTTCAGTTAACGCGGTGGCCTAAGCCGACGCCTCTGGGGGTTGCGCGAGTGGGAGCACCCAGGCCTGGAAGAGGCGGGGAGGTGGGCACCAGGGGCTGTCCTGCGGAACGGAGGCGCGGCCCCGCGGGGTCGCCGGTGCTGAGGGGCCGCAGCCCGGGCGGTCCGTCCCGCGTCTCCCCACGCAGACGTGCCTGAGACCCTCGAGGGGACGGGCTGGGGTCGCCGGGGGCCTGCCGGTCCGCCGCCAAGCGGGAGGCTGTCGGTCCAGGGGAGCCTGCCTCGTTGGGCCCGCCTTCACGCCTTGCCCCACTTTCCGCCCCGCCCGAAGGCCAGGCCCCGCCCCTTTGGCTGGAGCCCCGCCCCCACGCGAGTCTGGGGTCTGCGGCTGGGCTGGCTAGAATTGTCGTCCTTCCCGCGGGCTGCTAGGTCGGCGGGTCTTTGCAGCTGCAGGCTGCTCGCGGTTCGCCCGCGCCGGCTGTTTGCCATTTCCCGGCGCGGTTCTGAGCGTTCTGCTCCCGCGTCTGGGAGGGGCGCTGGAAGAGACGTGCAGCGTCTAGAAGGGCGGCTGGGCCGAGCGCAGGAGCAGGGACCCTCCGCGGTCACCCAGCCGCTCGCGATCCCCGCGGCCGGCCACGCTCGGACGCTGACAGCGAGAGGGCCCCGGGGACAGTCTGGCTCCAGGATGGTCACCACCACCACCTGCACCCGGTTCACGGACGAGTACCAGCTCTTTGAGGAGCTCGGGAAGTAAGCGCGGCGCTCGGGGGAATGGTCCTGCACGCGTCCGCCCCCGTCACCCCGAGAGCCTGTGTGGCCGCAGCGTAGACCGGTTTCTGTAAGCGGAGATGCCTCCGGAGTCCGCGGCGACCGTGCGCGGAAGGGTCGCGCGGTCCCTGCGTTGCCGTGTTACTGATGCCCAGAGTTGCACGTCCAGAGAGGGGCCGTTCAGACCTGCTCGACTCTGCCCGCGTCCCTGTCACCCATAGCTCGGGTGACCTGCTCGTCATTCCCTCCCAGGGCTCCCACGCCTCCGCTTCTTCCCCGGAGGATTCACGCTCAACGGGAGAGCCTTTTGGACACCGGGGAACCCCCAGGGCGGCCTAGCGGTGCGCGAACCTGTAGGACCGCCGGACACGTGCCGGCAGCGAACGGGGACCTGCTGAAGCCCGTGCATGGAGACCTGCTGAGGGTCTGATGGTGCGCGGGGAACCTGGAGCGACCGGGCGGCTGATGATACGATTTATGCAGCGTCTGACCCAAACCCAATCCTCTGCCCGTTTCCACTATCATTGCTGAAAGGGTGCGGTGTATGATGGTGTTTTATGCAGCTGAATGAAGGGAAAAGGAAACATCTTCTAAATGGAATGAACATTCTGTCTTTATATGTTTATGCATGGCTTGCTGTCAAAACGGAGAATATGTCAGAAGAGCAGCTTAATTCAAATCTCTCCTCTCCCCCAGCCCAAAATAGGGTACAGAGAAATCGCCATACCACGATTTGTTAAATCACACAAATGTTCCCAATATTTATATTTTAATGAAAACAATCGCCATATTTACTTACTTGTAGCCACATTTATTTATTTTTCCTACCAAAATACCGTGGCTGGTGGGGCTCAGTGGATTGAGTGCAGGCCTGCAAAACAAAGGGTTGCTAGTTCGATTCCCAGTCAGGGCACATGCCTGGGTTGCAGGCCAGGTCCCCAGTAGGGGGCTTGTGTAGGGCAACCACACATTGTTGTTTCTTTCCCTCCTTTCTCCCTCCAGCCTCTCTAAAAATAAATAAGACCTTTAAAAACTATAATAAAATAAATAGCAGGTTTTTGCTGCTCTTCCTCAGTTCTGCTCTTTGCAGGATTTTTTCTGCATTTGGTTCTGTGTGAATTGTGAAATGTCCTCAGCTTTCACATGCAAACAAGAGCCTCATAATTGACAGTCCCTTGCATTTTTTTTAATTAATAATGTGTACTCCCAATTAAATAAAGCTTACTTTTATTTCTCAGCAGTTAGAAATATTTGGGTTTCCAGGAAGAGTTGGTCATTTTTTTTGGATATTACTGTAGTGCACTGGTATTTGGAAATGTACTAAATGCAATAAAAATATTCAAATTGTTATTTTTAAATAGACTATCAGGGCTGCTTATATTGATGACCTGGTAATTTTTTATTTTCAGGGGAAATAAACCTACTGGTCAAGAATACGCTGCCGAAACCATCAACAGCAAGAAGCTTTCTGCCAGGGGTAGGTGTTTTCAACTGAGTGAGATGTTGGTTTTGTATTTCTCCTGCCCACTGTCGGTTCTCCTGTAAGTACATCAGAGAGTTCTAACTGAATGATAGACTTGGGTAGTGTGTTACATGTGGAGATTGGTTCCATCTGAATGCCTCTTGGTCTGCACAGTTTCAAAATAAATGAACAAATATAATTTAACAAATTGTTATAAAATTTGTTATATGAGCAATAACATAAGTAACTATCATTATAAAGCAAGTAAATGTCACTGAGTGCCTTTTGCCTTTAGCTCTACTCTGAAATAACTTCCAGAAAAACCCTGGAACGGAAAGTGTGAGTCTCATAACTGTCATTCCCTTTTGCTTTTGAGAGGAAAACTAGGTCAGAGCTCGGGTGAATCATGTATTTCGGCTGTAGTTACACTTGAACCTAAGGCATCAAGGTACATGTAACACTGATGGCTTTGGGAGGCAAGCCTGACTGCTATGTTCCAGGAAGCTCAGCTGATGTCGATGTTCCCGCGTGCAGTTCGGACCTTCTTCACTCGGCCTGCCGCGCGGAGATTGCTCACGGACCTGGAGTGCGTTTTGCACATGCTTAGTCACCTGAGAGATAATTCATGCTCGTGCAATAGCTGTTGACATGAGCAAAAAACTTGGAGGGCCCTCACTGCACTCTTGTCACTTCTTTCAACTCATGCAAAAATACTTCTGCTGAAATGTCGGGCATCCCAGTTATTGTGAGCACGTGTCCAAGGTATTTCCTTGGGAATTTGTGATTTAATGGGAAAAAAAAGAAGAGATAAAAAGGAACGAAATGCCATAACATACACCCATGTCAATGACCTGATTTATTTTGCTTTAGGTAATGTGATTAGAAGTTCTTATTAGGGTTTAATTTGTCTTCTAAAAGTGCTGCTGCTCAGGGCCCTGGTGTTATTCTCTTCCATGATTTTTTTCTGTATTTGTTGCAAATTCCAGTTTAACGTGGACCTCAGGTTTAGGCTGGCGAGTTGGTGTACTCTTTGGGTGGGGGTGGGGGTGGGGGTGGGGGGCTGTGATTCCGAGGAGTCTCTGTGCTCGGGCAGGGCGGGGGAAGAGGAGCGCGGAGGAACCCTGGGAAGCACCTGGTCTCCTTACCACGTCTTCACCGAAGGAAGGTTTTCTACGGGGAGGAGTTGCTAAACTGTGAATGGCAAATTAGTTTTGAAAACAATGTAAATGGGGCCCAACTCTTTTGGTGCTGGTACGGTTTCTTCCCGTGCACTTGGGCACGTCCATCGCCAGAGGGGTCACGCTTCCTCCAGAGCCGGCGCCACCCCAGATGTCTCTCGAAGCCGGAAAGTCGTGCTTCCCTTCGCTGTTTCCAGACCTGGCGCCACCCCTCGCAACCCACCTGATGCGTGCCGAGAAGGCAGACCCTCCGTCCTCTGACACGCACCAGCAGGTTCCTTCTGCTCTGCCCGAGGGGTCTTCTCCAGCCTGCGGGGCTCCTCCCGCAGCCCCTCCCGCAGCTCCTGGCAGGCTCATCACCTGCTCGTCACCTCCTTACCGCGCAGTCTGCACCGCGCGCGTTAGGGAGTTGAACCTGCCTGCAGGGAAATGTTTCGGGTGTTGGGGATGACTGAGGCTCTCCTGCAGAGGCGGGAGAGGGAGAGATGGGAGTGAGACCAGAACGTCCTCGTACAAGCAGACGTGCCTGTCCGTCTGAGCGCATCACGTGCAGGAGCAGCCAGGGTCCGTGGGAGCAGGCAGCTCCGTGTGAGCAGAGTAGTCTGTGGGCTTCCGCTGAGAAGAGGGAGATGGTGTGGGGCCACTGCTCTGCAGAGATCCGCGTTCTTTCGTTAGGGGTTAAAGATTTAAAATGTGGCCCTGGCTGGCGTAGCTCAGTGGATTGAGCGCGGGCTGGGAACCAAAGTGTCCCAGGTTCAATTCCCAGCCAGGGTACATTCCTGGGTTGCAGGCCATAACCCCCAGCAACCGCACATTGATGTTTCTCTCTCTCTCTCTCTCTCTCTCTCTCTCTCTCTCTCTCTCTATCTCTCTCTATCTCTATCTCTCCCTCCCTCCCTCCCTTCCCTCTCTAGAAATAAATAAATAAAAATCTTTAAAAAAAAAGAAACAAGGTTTAAAAAAAAGATTTAAAATGTGTATGTACTGACACAGTGTTTACCTCTGAAGGAAGGAAATCCAGTTTTCTCTGAGTTCTGCTGATCTGAAGATGAAAAAGGGGAGAGAAGATTACACTACGTAAAATATGTAAACAGACATGCAGGACAGTCCCTCCAGACGAAGACGGCAGCAGCCAGTTTGCGATGTGAACACGTGTGTAAGCTGTTCCTCCCCATAAGGACGGTCCGTGGACACTGCTCCTTCTCGGGCAGTGACACAGCAAGGGGAAGTAGACTGTAAAGAGTCAGAGAACCTGCTTTCTGAAATCTGAGCCCTGGGCCGCTCGGGGTGAGGCAGGCTGGGCGGCAGTGGGCCAGTCACCAGACGGCTCTGAGCTGCAGCGTCCAGAGCGGAGGAAGGGCCGGTCCATCCCAGAAGGCTCCTGCATCAGCTGGGGCCGCTCATGTACGGAGAGCGCGATGGTTCAGATTAAGTCACACTTCAGAACTTTGGCATCTGGATGGAATTGTCTTGGCCAAGAAGCAAGAATACTCTTTAGAAGGAAAAAAACACAGTATTTTATTTCTTTATACATATAGTGGGTCATGATGCATTAAATTTCTAGAAAACTTATTCATTACTGTGACTATCAATATCCTTATCCCTAAATCACTAAAGGTTAGTATTTTCTTTGCTAACGTTCCTGTAGCACTAATATCCAGAGGTGACAATGTGTTCAGGCTCAAGAAGACGGACTTACGGCTAACTAGCTTTTCTGCGACAGTAAATTACGCATGACATGAAGTTGATTGGTGGTGAGTTTTGGTGCATTCACGGCGCTGTGCAGCCATCACCACTGTCTGGTTCTGGAACATTTTCATTGCCCTGAAGCAGGCCTTGTGTCCGTTAGGCGGGTCACCGCCCATCCCCGTCCCGTCCCTACAGTACACTGGGTTTATCCAGTCGTCCGCTGACAGACACGACGCTGTGTCACGTTCTTTGGCTGTGATGGACAGTGCTGCTGTGAACATCAGCGTGTAATGTTCTGTGCTCCATTGTTCTTGGGTGTGTCCCTGCAGGTGGCGTTGGGGTGCTGTGCCAATTCTATTTTAACTCATGGGGGGTTCATCAAACTTCTCCACAGTGGCTGCCACATTTTATGTTCCCACCAGCAACACTGCTCCCGTGCCCCCCGCCCCCTCCGCCCCATCTGGGGCCCAGGTCTATCAGGACAGCGGAAGGGCCCGCTGCTCCCCTGCGCCCGTGTGCGGGCCCAGCTCCTGACTGTCCGGCCGGCCGCAGAGGAGTCCCCACAGAGAGGAGCACAGCGCCGGCGCCAGTGCTGGCCCTAACTGCCTGTCCATCTGTACCTGCTTCCCCACACACCCCCCACGCGGGAACCTGGCTTCCACATCTCCCCTCAGGAGACAGAGATGTTTGGGGAAACTCTCTTTTGAAAGCGTTCTATACTCCCAGTTGGGAATGCCCGCCTCCACCTGTGTCAGCGAGAGGAGAGGTAACCTCTAGAGAGGCATGTCGTGGGGAAGAAGACAGGCAGAGGGTGATGTAAAGACACGTTTCTTCCCAATAAGCTTTGAAGTGTTTTCTTTTTTAAATCAACAGTCGCATGATAGAACTTGGGAGCCCACAACCTGGAAGCATTTCAGTCGTGTCCCCTCTCTGGTGATGGGTGAGACTGGGCCGAAGTGGGGCGGGGGAGGGAAAAATGAGCGCCTCGAGCGCCCTGGATGCGCACTCGCCGCCCGGAACAAGTAGGGGACACGGTATGTCCGGGGTCGGGGCCGCCTTCCCCACCCTCACCTTCCTCACCCTCGTGCCGTCCGAGACGGTCTTGCGAGACGGACCTGGGCTCCGTGAACGGTACCGTGTTCTAGACCGTCACTTCTCTGGAGACACCAGATGCGGTCATCCGCATCGGCAGATCGGGTACTCCATGTCTGATGACATGATGGCTTGCATTTGTATATTAAGTATTATTTTAAGTGAATTAATTTGAGAGTATAAAAGGAATGTTTCCAACTTACTTGAATGACTCAGTAGCGCTTCCTCAAGAAGGATATTCCAGTGGTTTAAAAACACGCACACTCTGCAGGGGCGGGATGTTGGAGAGGGGCTCCGGGCCCTTGTCCTCCCTCCCACGTGGCTGGTGGAGCCTGTTTGAAAACCACAGACCCGCCCTGGCTGGCGCAGCTCAGTGGATTGAGCACCGGGCTGCGAACCAAAGTGTCGCAGGTTCAATTCCCACTCAGGGTACATGCCTGGGTTGCAGGCCACGGCCCCCAGCAACTGCACATTGATGTTTCTCTCTCTCTTTCTCCCTCCCTTCCCTCTCTAAAAATAAATAAAAAAATAATCTTTAAAAAAAACCTATACATTAAATAATATTATGCCTGTTAAATCTGCTGAATGGGGTATGTTATGGTGATATAACAGAATGTTCTTGTTTTGAGGAAATACTGAAGTACTTTTAAAGAATTCTTATATTAAAAGTACCTATATGGAGAAAGAGAGAAGGGTAAAGCAATGTAGCAACTCTTGGTAGCTGAATCAATACCAGGAACTGCCTAGATCCACATTTCTTATACACGAGGAAAATAATCCCCCACATCAGTGGGTTAGTGTACATTTTGCAGCTGAAAGTGCTCTATACAGATAACGCCACCAACTCCAACTCACCCTCTCTACTGTACGGAACCAAACTGTAAGACTGACCCTCTGAAAGAGAAGCGGACTGACAGTTCTAGGCCCAGCTTTGCCAGTGACCGATGTAACCGAGTCCTCACCTCCTCAGACTGAAGCGCGGTCACTCATGAGACGCAAACACCAGCCCTGGCCGGGCGGCTCAGCTCAGTTGGCTGGTGCATCCTCCCCACGCGCCAAGGTTTCCAGTTCCAGCCCAGGTCAGGGCCCGCACAAGCAGCAACCAATGAGTGAGTAAGTGCAACAACAAAAAAAGATGTTTCTGCTCTGGCTGGTGTGGCTCAGTGGATTGAGTGCTGGCCTGAGAACCAAATGGTTGCTGGTTCAATTCCCAGTCAGGGCATGTGCCTCGGTTGTGGGCCAGGTCCCCAGTAGGGGGCGCATGAGAAGCAACTGCACATTAATATTTCTCTCCCTCTCTCCTTTCCCCTCTAAAAATAAATTTAAAAAATTTTATAAAAATCTTAAAATCTTAAAATCTTTTATAAAAAAGATGTTTCTAGCCCTGGCTGGCGTAGCTCAGTGGATTGAGCGCGGGCTGGGAACCAAAGTGTCCCAGGTTCGATTCCCAGCCAGGGTACATGCCTGGGTTGCAGGACATGACCCCCCAGCAACCGCACATTGATGTTTCTCTCTCTCTCTTTCTCCCTTCCCTCTCTAAAAATAAATAAATAAAATCTTTTTTAAAAAGATGTTTCTCTTCCTTCCTCTCTATATCAATCAATCAAGATGCAAACATCAAAATGAGATTTGTGATGACAGCTTTGTGAAATGCGAAGTGCTATACAAGTATGAGTGGTTTTTAAACTGTATTGATGAGTTTTTTTCTTTTATGCCATGTTTAAGATGCCAACTAGAAGGCACTCTAATTTCTTTCACACAGGGGTTCTCTTATGTTGTGTACTTGTAAGGAAATCCCTCCGAATCAGAATTTGAAGCTTTTTCTGTGCACCTACAACAGACAAGGTTAACAGATTGTCTTGTCTATAACTCAGAAGCTTAGAACACTAGTACCTGTTTCTGGCTCTTTTTAGGAGACACAGTCATAGTGTTGCTTAATGTGCCCAGCACAGTGCCACGTGGTTCGCATACCTTGTGTAACCCCCAAAACTCGAGGAGTCTGACGCAATCATTATTTCATCACAGGTGAATGTGGGAAACAACAGCATTTATCTCAAAGGGCTGTTGTAAGGATTACGAGACTATATTTAAAAGCACTTGGACAGTGTCTGGCAAAAACCAAGTGCTAACTGCACGTTTACTAGTTATCAGTACTCTCATCTTACAGATAACAAAGCAAATGAAAGAAACAGAATTTACAACCTAGGTCTGCCTCAAGTTTTTCTTCCTCTTTTTTAAAACCAGCTGACCGTAGTTAAGTCCCCACGTCAGTGGCTGAATTTAAAGCCAGAAGACCCCTATTTGGATTTTGTCCTCAACTGCCCGCAGCCCGTACCAACGGGCCTGGCTAAGCGAGCTGCTCACTGAATTCTTGCTGAACCGAAGAAGAACTAGGTTTTAGCCTGGTCGGCTACACCTTTCTGGGTTAGGTAGACCAGTGCTGTCCCTGCGCTGGTGTCCCGTCTGCAGGCTCCGAAGCGGCTGTCCGGGGAAACTGACCGGGCTTCCCCTCCCCGAACGCTCACCTCTCAGCGCACCCCGCGATGAGCCCTACCCGCCTCCGCGACCTTGCCGCTGCACCCCCAACGCTCCCAGGCTCCTCCCCGCAAGCGCACGCGCACAGCAGAGCTTGCAGCACTCTCCCCGGCGAACTACAACTCCCATAATCCCAAGCGAGCGGCCCACCTGACGCCCAGGGGAGCCCAGGGGAGCCCAGGGGAGCCGGTCGCCCCTGGGGGGGGGCGCCTCCCGAAATGTCCTGCCTCTGTCCTCTTGGGTACAGTTCCTTCTGAGATTCTTGGTGCTCCCCGGTGAGGTACGACACCTGTCCCTGTTAGGTACAGTTTTGCCGTCCTTGACCTCTCCAGTCCCCTAGTGGGGAAGGGCACCCAGCCTAGTCCGACGGGGACCGGCCGCGGTGGAGACCCCGGGAGTGAAGGGCGAGTGACACGCAGGCGCGGAGGCGCGTCTTGGGGGCGGCCTCAGCGGACCCCCTTCCTGGAGTCTGTGAAGGTGAGTGGGGGCCCCGGCCGGGCGTGTCGCGTGCTGGGACTAACCAGGTTCCCTCCTCCCCCCCGCTCCCCCGCCACGACCGCCGTTGGCGCTAACGCCACCATCCCCAACCGGCTCTAAGAGCCGTTGACCCCAGTTGTGGAGAAAATTGGGGTCCCCGGGAGCTCAGTTTTAGCGTTCGTACAAGAATGACGCAATTAAACCACTCGCATCATATTGTTGCCGTTATCTGTGTACAAGTCTTTCTCCTCTGCTCTACCATGCGTTTATTAAATTTTTTTTACTTAGTTTTACCATGCATTTATTTATTTTTTACATTTATTTTTATTGTTCAGTTCCACCATGCATTTGAAAGTAACAGCCAGCCTGTCGGGAGGGCTCACCTTTCATCGTAGTTTTCCCCCAGGTAGCACGTGGCTCCTTCCTAACAAGCTACAGGGCTTCAAGTCTTTGGGACTTGATTCTGTCCAGTTTGGTGGCCGACTAGGTATCTACTTTGTCATGTCCTCTGTTCCATCTGTGTGGAGGACACTCGAAGACTCCAGGAGACAACGAGGACGGTGAAACACTGAACAAATGGTTGGTAGACAGCTGATGAAGTTGACCGTCTGCTGGGGATGCAGACGGAGACCTCATTGTGCCCTTACCCTAACCGTCTTGCCGACTCCTTGCTCCGTGGCTTGGTTGTGCTGCTTAACTTTCTGGGCATCCATTTTCTCTTAAACTGAGAAGGTTGGGGTAGATGATCTCAAGGAACTTGCCTGCTCTACACTTCTGTGGCTAGTGAGTAGAATTCAGATTACATCACAATGTGTTCATGTTAGACATCACCGACTTCCATTTTCCTGCCAGCGCAAGTGAACTATAGTGTAAGGTTGGCAGCCGCCTCGGAAAGAACCGCCCCATGTTGTACCTGTGCTTGCTTTCTTAGTGCCGAAAATATGAAATCACCAGGTAATGTAACTTTCTTCACCTTGTATTTGTTGTCATTTTATAGATCACTGGTAGGAAGAACTCTGAGTACGCCAGGGCACCCTTTGCACATGACGATGGCTCAGATCCTGAGGTCCCGCCTGGCAAATGCTGCAGCGACTCCTAATCGAATGAAAATCCTTCCATATCTTGGAGTCCTGCGAAATAGGATGATGTCAACTCACAAACTGAGAAAGAAGATGAGAGAATACTATAGGCTGCTGAACCTGGACGAAGGGTGCTCTGCGGATGACGTCAGGAGGTCCTTCCGTAAGCTGGCCAAGCAGTACCACCCAGACGGCGGCTCCTCCACTGCTGACTCGGCAACGTTTGTAAAGATCGAAGAAGCTTACAGGAAGGTGCTTTCCCACGTGACGGAACAAACAAATGCCAGACAGAGTAAAGCTGAAGAGGCGGACGAAGAGGAAGGGAAATTCACATATAAAACACCCCAACACCGGCACTACTTAAGTTTCGAAGGGGTTGGTTTTGGGCCTCCAAGCCAACGGGAGAAGCAGTATCGGCAGTTTAGAGCAGACCGTGCGACCGAGCAAGTGATGGAATATCAGAAGCAGAAACTGTACAGCCAGTATTTCGCTGATAGTTTAACTGTGCAAGACGTAAGGCAAAGTAAAGAACAAAAGATCACTCAAGCAATAGAGCGCCTGGTGGAGGACCTCATTCAGGAATCAATGGCAAAAGGGGACTTCGATAATCTCAGTGGGAAGGGAAAGCCTCTGAAGAAGTTTTCCGGCTGTTCGTACATTGACCCCATGACTCACAACCTGAACAGAATATTGATAGATAACGGGTACCAGCCAGAATGGATCCTCATGCAAAAGGAAATAAAGGATACTATCGATCAGCTCAGGGAGGCGATTTTAGCATCCAGGAAAAAACTTGGGAACCCCATGACAGCAACCGAAGAGAAACAGTGGGACCAAGTTTGTGAGCAGTTTGAAGAAAACATCGGAAAACTAAACAAGCGAATCAATGATTTTAATTTAATCGTTCCCCTGCTAACCAGGCAAAAAGTCCACTTCGATGCACGGAAAGAAATTGCCAGGGCCCAGGACACGTATGAGGCCCTAATAAAAACAGGAGAAGTCACAGCAAAAAAGCCAAATAGCAGTGGTCAGGGAGAAGGGGAGAAAACAGCTGGAGTCAAGACAGGTTTTTTCAACTGGGCAAATATGTGGAAATTTATTAAAATCTGACCCTTCCAACAGTACTGCCCCGAGTCATTTTCAGCTGCACTGACGCCACACACAGAGGCCGAGACCGTGCTGCTACCCAGGAGCCTGAGAACTGCGCGTCTGGGCACTTGCACAAACTGAGCTCGCCCCCAGCCCCCAGGCCGCGTGAGGGAGACGGCGTCAGAAGCTGCGTCAGAGAGACGCCCAGCCAGCTTCACTCTGGGAACAGAGCGAGAAGAGAACCGAGGAAGCACTTTAATCCGTGTCAGAGTTGGTCAGTCGCCAGGTGAAATGGGTTTGGGCAGGGACTCCTCCGACCGGGAATCGTGACGGGTATCCCAAATTCCTCAGTGCGGTTTCAAACTCTAATTTACCAAGTTGTCATCTGCCATCTTCAAACACAGGCCCTCCAACAACATCAACAAGCTGAATAAATATTGTCAAAAGTCATAAAACTAAAGGAGTGCGGGGAATGTAGGGAGGACACCTCCAACTGATGTGTGTTCTTTGCCGGTTCGCTGCGCTTCCACGCCCGAGGCCGTCACGGCCCTCCGCGGCTCCTCTGGGTGGGCCACGGTGTGGGTCGCAATGCCGCCACCAGCAAGTCAGCCGTGGAGTTCCAGCACTGTTCTTTTTTTTAATAAAGGGCCTCTCTGTGGGTCCTGAATTTAAAAAAAAAACAAAAAAAAACAAGTACCTGGGTTGTACTTTGTACTTTTCCCCGCCTAACTCCATGACCCGTTGGCTGCAGAAGCTGATCAGCCAAGCTGGTTGATTTAGAGTTAGCTGTTCTAGAAATAGACTCCCGTGTCCACTTTTTTTTTTAAGGAGTTCTGAGTGCATTTTGAGACTTTCCAGGAGTGGGGCTTGGGGGGAATAACACTTTGTCTCAAAGGAAACCAGACTGCACTTTCGGCTTCAGCTCGAGGCAGAGTGAAATGTGAGGTTCACATAAATCGGCCCGAGGTCTCGGTGTCGTGTATAGGACTCCCCAGAGGCTTTTCCGCCACACCAAGAATCCCAACTCACTGTCTCAGGGAGCTACTTTTCTTAGGAACTCTTTAATACACAAAGACAAGATGTCTGACTTTTATACCTATTTGCACCTTTGGCAAATAAGAATTTGGCATTCATGAGGTAGTTGTGTCTCATTCACTTTTCAGCAAATCTGACTTTTGTTTAAATTTAGTGGGTGACATTGGTTACTAGGATAGTACAGGTTTCATGTGTATATTTCTTTTTTTAATATATGTATATTTTAAGATTTTATTTATTTATTTTTAGAGAGGGAAGGGAGGGAGAAAGAGAGAGAGAGAGAAACATCAATGTGTGGTTGCTGGGGGCTGTGGCCTGCGACCTAGGCATGTGCCCTGACTGGGAATTGAACCTGTGATGCCTGGTTCTCAGCCCACGCTCAATCCACTGAGCTACGCCAGCCAGGCCAGGGAAACCAGTTTCTATGCTGGGAAAGTAAAATTATCAGAAAACTCTAGCAAATCCTTAATTTCAGCATAGTGTACTTTCTATTTGTAAATGTCCATATTAAAGTGAATTTTAGTGATTATTCGTGGTCTGTTGTACAGACAACAATAATAACCATATTTTGGACTGACCACCTAAATGGTTTTTTATCTTTTAGATTGATATCAAAACCGATCATGACATAGGTTTTTCTTGTTAAGAAGGTAATCCAGTTAAGTAAAAACAGGCTTATTTATTTAAGTAACTGAACTCCAGGTCAGACAAGATTTTGGCTGGTTTAATGGAGTGTGTTAAGCTGGAATCTGACACATTTCTTACGACACAGCATTGACCTCTTTCTGTTAGTTTTTTGCCTCCTAACTTTGTCAGCTTTTCAGATGTCATTATATTTAATGACATTTCCCAACTCATCAATGGACCCATATCAAACTCCGCCTGGTTCCCAGCCTTTCCACGGCTCCTTTCTCCAAACTGTAGGCCCGGGACCCTGGCCCAGTACCCTGAGGGTGGAGGGAACCTCCACCACGGAGACTTCCGTCCCCAGCCGCGGGCTCGGATTTGTCTGTGTTCTGTGTGCCCGAGGCTCGTCCTGGGTGGTCTGGGGTCTCAGGTGGGTGGGGTCCAGTTCTCCGGTAGACCAGGGCTGTCACCATGCATGTTCTTCCTCCCGCTGCCAGGACACAGCCCTGCTGGGGGCGGGGGGCCCTCTTGAAGGTGACCGTCCCTGTAACCTTGTCACGTGGCTGGGGCCTCTTACGCCCTCACATACTGCCCTACTACCAACTGCCCGGGTCCCCATCCCTGGGCAGAGGGATGAGGGATGCAGAGAGCCTGTGCTGCCCTTGGGTCCCACTCTCCTGGACACGAGTGTCCTGCGAGGTTCGGGCGACACCCGTTCTAAACTGACCACTCACAGTGCCAGTCACAGCCCTTGGGTCAGGGCAGGGAATACACCAATTGGCTAATGATGCGTTACATGATACAACAAGGCAAGGTTCTGTATTTTGGAAAAATAATTATTATGAAAAGTCACATGTATATAGTAAAAAGTTCAACCAATGCAAAAGGATAGGCAATGAACCGATGAGCTCTGACCCCTCCCCAAGACGCAGACCTCCTAAGCCCCGCCCCCAGTGATTTCCTGCGTGTCTGTATTAGTTTTCTATTGCTGCTGCGCGCACGCTACGAACTTAGTGCCTTAAACAACACAAACTTACCTTAGAGGTCTGGAAGCTTAGGGTCCAAAGTGGGTCTCCCTGGGCTAAGGGCACGGTTTCCGGCAGCGCCACCTTCCTCCAGGGGCTCTCGGAGAGAAGCTGGTCTTCCCTCCCCCGCATCCAGAGGCTGGCTGCCTGCGTTCCTGGGCTTGCGGCCCCTCCCTCTGTCTTCAGAGCCCGGAACAGCAGGGCCGGTCCTCGTGTCATGTGACTCTGGCTCTCCTGCCACCCTCTTCCACTCCGAAAGACCCTGTGATTACATGGAACCCACCAGATAATTCAGCATAATCTCCCCATTTTAAGGTCAGGTGATTAGCAACCTTAATTTTCCTTTGCTATGTAACAACATGGATAACACAGGTTCTGGGGATTCGTATATATTTGGGGGCACTATTATGTTGCTACAATATCCTTCCAAAAATTTATATAATTTGTACACACACAGTCTCTTTCAAAGAAACACACAAATGTGGACACACTGTACATACTTGTCGACACCTTTTTCTTCACTCGTCTACTAGTGTATCTTCAGGGTCTTCCCATAGCAACACATTATGTGATAAACCTGTGTGAGACTGTGGTATGCTCATGGAAATTCGAGCTCATCAGTGCCGAGCAGACGAGGCAAACAGCACTGCAAGTTTACAGGAGAGACCGGGAGGCGTGGAGGGGGCGAGCGCTCGCTGAAGGTACCTGGGATCTGGAGTGAGACGAGGCACGGTAATGAGGCACATGGCCCAGAGGAGGTGACAGCCGCCTACGCCTGTCGAACGCTTGCCCCGCATTAACTACTTTACTCGTCACAACACCCCCATGACAGAGGTGTATTGTCCACTGTTTCTGAGAGAGGAGGGAACCGAGGCTCAGAGAGGTTAGGTAACTTGCCTTGGGTCATACAGCTAGAAAGTGGCAGAGCTGGGATTTGAACCCAGGCTGTCTGTGGTCACTCTGGTTCCAGATCCCAGTTCTCACCCACACATGGTGGTTGAGAGGAGACTGGAAGGGATCACGTTAGTGATGGCCTCTGGAGAGAAGATGCAAGAACCGCATCGGTCCCTGGGGCTGCCTCGGACCCAGTCTGTTTCCTAGTAGGACTGTCATCCTTCTTGTCCTTTACTCACCCCGAGGTCCTCGCCTCCCTCACAGCCCCCTGTACCACGCAGCCCTGGCGGGTGTGATGCAGAGGATCGGAAATGTGCTTTGCAGCTGGGAACATCTGCATTTAGACCCAGGTTCCGCTATTCACTAGCGATGTGACCTTCCTGAGCTTCCCTTCCCTCACCTGTCAAAGGAGCACAGTCAGGTCCACCTGCAGAACCGTTGTGACCCCGATAGATTTTGAAGGAGAACAGCTCTGGCAGGGTAGGGTCTCAGAGGTTCTCAGCGGGGACGTACTGCCCTCTAGAGGAGGTTTGGGAGTGCTGCACGCGAGTCTTCAGTTGAGCCAATGGTTAGAGCTTCTGTTTAGCGCCTTGGGGACAGTACCGCGGCTGTGCTGGCAGGCCTCTCTTCTGATTGGTTGGTACTCCTAGCCGTCCTAGTCGTTCAACATTTCAAACAGCAGCCGGACCACAGGCACTTAGGAGGTGGGGCCAGCGATGCAGGGAGTTTCACAATGACTGAAAAGAGGAATTTCCTCATGTCCTGACCAGCATCCAAACATCCCACCAGACATTCGTGTGGGTGAAAAGTCTGCTTATAACCACCCAGGCTCAGAATGGAATTATATCTTACCTATAAACACAACGTACTTTTTGCCTGATTTTATTTTATCTTTTTGGAAGGATTCAGTTAAGGTAGGAATTTTTTTTAAAGATTATATTTATTTTAGAGGGGAAGGGAGGAGAAAGGGAGAGAAACATTGATGGGCAAGATATACATCAATAAATTGGTTGCCTCTCACATGCCCCAACTCTGGGGACCTGGCCTGCAACCCAGGCATGTGCCCTGGTTGGGAAATGAACCAGCAACCTTTGGATTTGCAGGTGGGTGTTCAATCCACTGAGCCACACCAGGCAGGGGTGGGTAGGAACTATTGACTGGTTTAACAAGACCCTTGCAATTATTTATTTATTTGTTTATAAATTATTTATTTTTAGAGAGAGGCAAAAGGAGGGAGGAAGAGAGGGAGAGAAGCATCAATGTGTGATTGACTCTTGTGTGCCCCCCACTGGGGATCTAGCCTGCAACCCAGGCATGTGCCCTGACTGGGAATCGAACCAGCTACCCTCTGGTTCTCAGGCCGGTGCTCAATTCACTGAGCCACACCAGCCAGGGCTATCTGACTCTCAATATAATAATTGTTATTTTTTTCCCACGAAGGCAACTGTTATGAACATTGCACTTCTTTTTCTTGGGAATTTTCCCAAGAATTACAGCGCATTTTAGGAAGCACTACTGATGGCACTGTGGCTACGGCACTGGAATGACCAGTAGTGCTACACGCTTGTTGCAGTCTGCGCTTGTAGCAAATATGCACCAGAGGAGCATGCAGAGCCGTTTTCATTTATAGCCAATATTGCTCAGTGACTGGGTGTCATAGCCAGCATCCGAGATGACACATTCTGTGTAGTGCCCTCCCACATTGTACGGGAGTTGGTCGGTGTGCCCAGTAGAATATAGCAGAAGCGAGGGCATGTCTCCTTGGAGACGGGAGCCTCCTGCTCTCTTTCCCCCGATCACTGGCTTTGGGTGAGGCCAGCTGCCCCGTCTGAGGCAGCCTTGTGGGGAGGCACATGTGTCCAGCAGCCGAGGCC